TCCGAATGGGACGATGAAGTCTCGTCTGAGATAGCCGAAATATGGTCTACCTTTGTTCGCACACTTCCTAGTCTAAACAGCTTAAATATTCCACGTTGGGTCTGCTGCAACCTAGCGGTAAAACATGAATTGCATATTTTCTGCGACGCGTCAGAAAAAGCGTATGGCGCATGCATATATGTTCGATCAGTAAGTAATGACGAATCAGTAAATGTACAACTTTTGGTGTCTAAAAATCGTGTAGCACCAATAAAGCCCGTTACTATTCCGCGCCTTGAGCTTTGTGCTGCGCTATTAGGTGCAAGACTGTGTACTACCGTAACAGAATCCTTGACTATGCCCATAGATAAGCGAATCTTTTGGAGCGACTCGATGATTGTGTTGGGGTGGCTCAACATATTACCAAATCAACTAAAACCCTTTGTACGTAATCGAGTCGCCGAAATTCAGGAAAGCACTGCTGGAGATAGGTGGAGGTATGTACCGTCGATGGACAATCCGGCGGACCTCGTTTCTCGCGGGGCGAGGGCCGATTCCATCGGTGCATGCTCGTTATGGTGGACGGGCCCTAGTTTTTTACACGGCGGCGAAAGTAGCTGGCCTATTATGCCCTGTAATAGCGTAAATCACAAACTACCTGAAGTAGTGTGTAATTTTGCTGATCAAGTTGACACTCATATTAATTCTAATCAATCATCTAACAATCCAATCATTCAGTCATTAATTTACAATAATTCTAATTTCAATCGTCTTCAAAGAATCATTGCTTACATCTATAGATTCATTCATAACTTAAAAAAATCTAATTTCAAATTGCATGGTTCACTTTCTACTGAGGAATTAGATAACGCTTTAACATGTTTACTACTTACTGCACAAGCAGAGATGTTTCCAACAGAGTGCAATATTTTGAAGTCGGGAAAATCACTGCCTCATAAAAATCGTTTAATTTCGTTGACACCATTTGTAGATACAAGAGGAATTATACGCGTAGGAGGCAGGCTTGATAATTCACCATACGATTATAATACAAAATATCCCATCTTACTTTGTAGTAAACATCATCTTACTAGAATTCTGTTTCAAATGCAACATAAAAAGTTGCTTCACGCTGGTCCACAGTTGTTATTGGCAAATATGCGACTTAACTATTGGCCTTTAGGCGGCAGGAATCTTGCCAAGACTGTTGTCAAACAATGCGTAAAATGCTTTAGATATAAGTGTCAAAATATACAACCAATGATGGGTCAACTTCCATGCTCCAGAACCAACATTGAATTTCCATTTTTTAACTCTAGTGTTGACTATGCTGGCCCAGTGCTGATAGCTGACCGGAAAGGTCGCGGTTGTAAGCTTACAAAGTCCTATTTATGCATCTTCGTTTGTCATGCAACAAAGGCGGTCCATTTGGAGCTCGTCACCGACCTTACGAAAGAAGGCTTTATTGCAGCTCTGAATCGTTTCACGTCTCGCCGTGGTAAACCTCAAAGCATACTATCAGATAACGGCACGAACTTTGTTGGGGCTGATAATGACTTAAAACGAATCATTACTGACTCTGGTGTTGCATCTGCAATGGCAGAGCAGGGCATTAAATTTGTTTTTGCTCCTCCTTATTCCCCTCACTTTAACGGCATGGCTGAAGCTGCCGTAAGGTCCACCAAAAACCATCTAAGAAAGTTGCTAAGTCTCACTAACTTCACTTACGAAGAACTGGCAACCTGCCTGTGTCAAATAGAGGCTGTTCTCAATTCCCGTCCTCTAACTCCCTTGTCCTGTGACCCATCTGATTTGTCTGTCCTCACTCCTTCTCATTTTTTAATTGGACGAACACTCACGTCTATACCGTGTTCACAGGTTCCTGACAAAACCATCAGCTGCTTAGACCGCTTCAAAAGGATTGAGTACGTTCGTCAACACTTCTGGCAGCGTTTCTCTAATGAATATATTTCATTGCTTCAACAGAAAACCAAATGGTCAGTCCCTTCAGATAGGAAGCTCAGAGAAGGAACACTCGTACTCATCCGAGAGAAGGCGCTTCCACCACTTGTTTGGGCACTAGGTCGTGTAGTACGAACCTATGCAGGTATCGACGGCATCACACGCGTGGCAGACGTGAAGACAAAGAGAGGAGTCATCACAAGAGGGTTCAACAATATTTGCCCTCTTCCCTTCGAAGACGTCAACAGGCGGGAGGATGTTCACGCATCAACCGCGTGATCATGTCGGCGGACGACGGCGGCGGCTGAGGCGCGGGCGCGGGGGGCGACACAGCCGGGACGCGGCGAGCGGCGGCGCGGCGGCGCACTTCACTTCGCATTCGATCCGATCGTTGTACACGTCGTTAACCACGATTAAACACATTATTGAATACAGTCCACTCTTTTGTGCATAAACAACCCTGAGCTCCAACCCTGAGCTCCCGAACAGAGACGGCTTCCCAGTTCCTCTCGCTCCGCACCATGGCATCGACTTAGGCCGGGTGCGAGGAATCGCCGCCGCCAATGACTTCCTTGAGGACATGGCGGTGCTCAGTCCAAGCAGGGCAATACTCCACCGTGTCCTCTGGATGTTCCTTACAATGGCGACACTCGTGCATTTCCTCCCGCCACTTCGACGGACGGCACATAGGTATCTTAGAAACTATCTTGAATTTTCATCCCGTATGTACCTACTATCTTCTCAAGTTCTCACTGCCTACACCTGTCTCTGTCCCCTTTGTCGTCATACACCCGCGCCTAGATGGACTCAGACGGTTGGCCTATAGAAAAAATCTCAACTTCTAATCTTTCTGCATTTAAGTATTCAACCATTGAATGCTACACATCCAGTTTTACGGTAGGTGCCTATTTTGTTAATGTATTATTTTAACCTGGGTAGGTACTTACATAGTTGATTAGTCTGATCTTCCTAAATACTACTACTTAAATTATCGAATTATAGTTTTAACTTACATTCGCTCGGCCTCTATTCGTTTGGCTGTTAAACAAACGATTAAATCCTTTTAATTTTGGGTTATCATCAAGTTCCTGTCCTGCCATTGCATAGTTAAATATATTTTTTATAATTTTATAACATTTTCCTAAAGAAATATGTCTAAAAAGCCATCAAAGAGAATAATAAGTAAAGGGGAAAAGACATACCAAGTCAAGAAATGACACCAGCTGGTCATCAACTTAGTATTTACTTACTTGTTTGTGGTCATCAATGGCGATGGCATTATAGGTAGGTACTCTTTATCTAGAACTGGTTGGTATTGTGTAAACTTCCAAAGAAAATATACAGGTACGAATAGGTATATACTCCTTGGAGTACTTATGGTAAATCAAAAAGTTTGTGATAATTTAGCAGTGATAAATAAATCTGACTGCACGGTAGCTGGGCAATTGGCTACCGTGCAATGTGTCGCGGGTTCGATTCCCGCGCGCAACAACTCTGTGTGATCCACAAATTGTTGTTCCGGGTCTGGGTGTGATGTGTATGTGAATTTTTATGTTTGTAAACGCACCCACGACACATGAGAAAATGCTAGTGTGGGGCAACGTTTTTAAAAAAAGAAAGAAAGAAGAATAACATAACTTTGATCCAAAGAGTGGGGAGGTACTAAATTAAGAAGAATCTAGGTACCTATACAGACATTCCATTCTATGTAGAACTCAGGGGTTCACTTACCGGTAATAGGTAGGTACCAACTTAGCGATTCGCAATGCTTCGTGTATCGGTAAATGAAATTGAAGGTTAAGCGCAATAATAGCAGCCTCGGGCTGGAACAAGAGAAGTAGGTAACGGGGTGGTTTTTAGTCTGTAAGTCCTTGTTTTTCTTAGAGGAAAAAATTACTTTTCCTGCCCAGGGTAAGGCGAGAAAGTGTTAGAGCTGTGGTCAGACTCTTGTCTGACTAACCACCCTTCCCCCCGTTCCTGTTACTTTAGACTGAGGCCACGGTGCCACATTGCGCCTATCCCGCAACCCCGGCTAAAAATCAGCCCTGTAGGGCCCTATTGGCTTATTGAGGCGCACGTGGAACGCTACACATCATACGCTCGGGTAGTCTAAGGGTTGGACCTCATCTGGCATCACGGAGTCGCCTTTTTCCGTTGCCCTTTCTCTTTCTGTCGCTTGGAACTGCCATTTGTTAGACTGCGGAATACGATAGCGCGCGTTCGCTTGCGGCAGCATACATACTGCAGCACGTGGTAACACAGGGGGAACAAATGCGATTCCTTGATGCCAGATTAGCTCATAAAGTATTCGATGAATTTGCCAGCTCAAAAAAGGCTGAGGAAAGGTTTTTGTAGTCTGACTTATACCTTTAATATTATTAGGTATAATTTTACACAAAATTAACAAAGAAGTTAGTAAATAATTTAAACGACATTATTCGTTTTGCATTTGGTAAATGCGTTTAATTGTTTAATCCTGATTTATTTTTTACAAAACACTTTACAAGTACTTAATTACATTTTCGAAAATTCCTGGATATTTAATTCAACAGACAATACAAATTATATTTTTTAATTCTTCAGTCAATAATATCTTTGGATAAAAACATTGAGAATAAAATGTTACAAGCAATTTACATAGAATGAATTAGTAGAAAATAACAACAGTACATTTCAGTACTTATTGCAAATATAAATTTGTGTACTTATCATTTACTTACAACATAATTTCATTCCTATTGGAATTCATAACCTTAACTAATGATGGACTAGTATTCAATACAATGAGATATATCAACATAATACTATCCAACCATCTTATGTATCAAAAATATATATCGCTTTATATATAAAACACTTCAAATTGCTTCATTTGTATTATAAGCTACATACCTAAGTTCAAGGACAACAAAGCAATGCACTTTTAGACTAATTAAGTACACTAACTTTTGAGCACGTCAAAAGATGTAAAAACCATTTATTAATCTCTCACAAAACTCTTTCGAATCACGACAATGTTTGTCATTAATCACTAAGATATAGAATACACTATCAAATCGTGTTGATATTGTCCTCTTTTCACAGAGAAGATCACAGTTTAGTTAGGACCAGTTGTTTTAAGCATTGACATTAATATTGCACCAATCCCTCCACTTATTGCTAGTTTGAAATTATTGCTTATTATTCAACAATAATGCAATCTTATTTAAAGAAGTATAAACTCATTAGTTCTGCAAGTGGTCGCCTCGGACCGTGCCGCTTCAACGTCTGGCCCTGAATGCAAAGTCCATAAGAGTGTACTCTTCTATATTAGAAGGTCTTCCTCCCAGTCTTCTTTCTGTCTCTCCGAGACGGACACTGAGGGTCGCGTTAATTGCTTCAGTTCATCGTAAGTGCGCGGAGGAATGGGATTGTCACTGAGATCTACGTACTCTAGAGCGCGGGATCTGGCTAATCTGTCCACATCAATTTCTGAAAATAACAAAGGTTCTGTAAATATTGGTTCAGTAAAATTAGAAGGCAACAGTTGCGCTAAATTTCACATTTAGGTATCATTGATAATCTAATTTTATTTTTTTATTCCTCAATTATGTAGATTATCACACCATATTAAATTTGTACGCCTCCTGGCATAACATAGCGCTCTGTGTCAACAACATTATAATATCTGTATTTTATTCACCTATGTTAACAAATAAATGATTTGATTTGATTTGATTTACGGTTGCAAGTTGTCCAATGAGTTGACTAGGAGTGTCACTCTTACTGACTCAAAGCCTAAGTCGTGTCATCGTGCTTTGAGCCAGGATGTACATAATTGCGCTTGCACCCGCAACTAGACTTGAGTATATTAGATAGTATTTTATTTTAATAATTGAAAATAAAAAGAGTCAAGTCAAAGACTATTGTATTCAGGTTTAAAAAATAAGTGTTATAATGAACAGGCCAATCTATTTGAGTTAAGACACCTCTCTTACTCAGTGAATGTCCCAATAGTGAGCAAACCCTACTAGGGTTTGCTCACTATTGATAACCCTATTCACAGGCTGACTTATCTATAAATGTCTTTTAGAACCTAAAACACATAGGTGCAAGAATATATCAGCCAAGCTATTACCTTAAACTACACATAAATAAAAGTTTCAAGTACCAATGATCTGATTGTGATGCGCAAGCAACGTGTGCAGACTGGGGCACTGGAAGGTGATGTGAGGGAGCGCCACAAACGTGTTGTGAGAGATATCCAGCCGCTCTAAGCAGGCAAGTGTGCAGAGCTCGTCTGGGAGCTTCGCCATTTGGTTGTTGGACAGGTTCAAATCTGGAATTGAGAGATTTAAAATTAATAACCAAGTTTTTGCACACTAGATTGTAATTGCCATTAGGTACTATTAGACTAAATTGGCGCACTGCTATCCCACAAATTTGCGTAAAGGGATGGATGTCCCATGTATTTCATAAAAGGCAAGTTCATCGCCATTCAAGAGGGATCTGTTTATGTGAAATTGCAACCACGAAAACGCACGACAAATTACAAGGAATACAAAAAAAATTTAGTCGGAAATGAGCCCATAGAGTTTGTATTACCCAGAGAAAACAGATATTGAACCTGAGATTCTTTCCTTGACCACTCACAACCACACAACTAAAGATATTTATATTTAAATAAATAAGTTCAAATACTGACCTGTAATTAAACTAAATTTGACTGCAAACTTAGGAGGTATCTTAGTAATAACATTTCCGCTGAGATCACAACTCTTGAGCTCTGTGTGTCGCATAAGGTGGTACACGGCATCAGGTACTTGCATCAGTTGACATTCTGACAAATCTGAAACAAAAAACAAGAATGAATTACAAATTTGCAGGCACTAACACAAATCCAGACAATCCTTTTTTTTCTTTTAATAAAAGAGGCAGCATTAGGATTTTCTTTTGTTCCATTGGGGCATTTGTTATCAATTTGTCTTGCATAATATAAAACCCAGACTCAAAACAACTTGTGGTTCACACAAAGAGGAAATTCCTTGCAGGAATCAAGCGGAATAGTTTAAGGTCCAGTATCATTTATATCTTACTTTCTTATCAGAGTTATCAGTCAGCAAAAGTAAGCATAAATTATGAGTAATTATAAGGCAATATTATTTGTAGAACCTCCTGGAATGTGTCACAATCACATTTTTATGACTCTTAAAGCTAATCAAGAATGTATTTTATCATAGAACAATGATAGTGAAGATATGGCAATGAGAATGTGTAATAGAAAACAAGAAAGAAAGAAATGTAAGAATAATTATTTTATGTTGAGAACAATAATTAATGTTTTCATTATTTATCAATAGTTCAGTTTAAGAAAGAATTATTTTTATTGTTATATATCTGCAGACTTTTTATTGTTATATATTGTTAGTGTGCAATTGCCACATTTCTTTATATGTTGTTACTGTCATAATATTTTCATAACAAACATTAAAATATCAATACTCAATTTTAGTCCAATTACAAGGTAGGCAAGCCCACTCCTAAAACAACAGTTCAGCAGTGGCTTAGTGTCCTAATACAAAGTATTCCAATTTCAAAGTATTTTTGTCTTGTACTTATATTAGAAGTTATTTTTAAATATTGATCCTCCTTAAATCCCAGTCTAATGAAGGTTCTGAAATTTGATCTTAAAAGAAGGTAACAATAGAGTAGACCGACTTATACACTGCCCTATTTATTCAAGTGCGCAATTAGCACTAAATACATAGGCTGAATAAGAAAAAATGTGTAGTTATGCTCATAAATTTTCAAAGCAATTTTAGGACACATTGCAATCAGTTTATTAGAGCAGAAAGCGTTAGAAGTTACGTCATTAACCAGAATATATCGCAATTTCAATTAGCCTTGTATTTAATAACTGTTAATCATACCTAATACTTGAGTTTTTTGAGCATCTTCGCACTTCAATACCACTCGAGTTACTGCTAGAGCCATTTTGATATTAAACACACTAACTCTTGATTTAACTAACACCAGCGGACTAACTAACTAGAATCGGGATCACGAGTAACGGCGCAGTTCCTAAAGTTATTTATAAATACATAAAATATTTCAACTCGCGAAGCACGTAGCGAACTATTTATAAATTGGCAATAAACTTTTTATTGTATGTATTAATATAATAAGGTATTGGTTAATTGTTTACAACAATAAGGCTAAATTAATTGTAAAATTGCGAGAAATATTTTTAATTAAATATGAAAGTTAAACTTTTCCTTGTGTTTTCACTTCGTTAATGTTTGACACAAAGAGTATGTAACCACTACGTTTAGTTTGACAGTTTGTTGAATTCTGTTTTTGACGTTTCACAATCAGCTGTTTCTGTTTGTCATTTATCAAAGCACGTTCCGAAACTTTTTAAAACTCCAGAAACCTTCAAATCATTATTTTTTTACGTTTAATAAATAAAGAGTTGTTTTTCAGCGAAGTTACGGGCTTACTAGTGAAGGTAACAATGATATTTTGTTAAACTATATTGTTGTGTTTTAAAATGTTGGCATTTAAAACACCAAAAAAATAAAACCAATCTTTTTAGTTTGATCATCATCAATTCATCACCTCGTCAGCTACAACAAGACATTCACAATTGTACTGGACATAATAAGCATTCCTTAATGACTTCCAAATCGATCATCATCCGTCTTGTAGGATAATTCTTATGACTACCTACTTATCTATACCTAATTCCAATATACATAAGGCAAACTTATGTAACTGTGGATAAATAAAAATTTTATTATTATTATTATGTGTGTTCCTTTCCACTCACGGGATCACAGGATCCCGGACCTTTGGAAGGCGTACGAGGGGCCGAAGCCAACTCGCAGAGGCCCTTTGAACAACTTTAATATAAGTGAAATGGGACATCAGCCGGCTTATTATTATTATTATTACATAGCCAAAGACACTTAAATGATTACTCAGAAACAAAGTGAAAACAAAGACTAGTTTCAGGGTCTTTTTATATCTGGATTACAAATATCTTCCTTCTTTTTGTCGTGTTGTCATAATCAACAATGAATGAATCACGTCGCTACAAGGAAGTGTTTTAACGAGCAGTGACCTCTCCACTAGCCGGCACCAGCACTACTGTATATTGTTAGCTAAGGCCAACATGTGTTGAACAAGCGAGTTCAAGCCGTTCAAGTTTGTAAACCATACGCACGCGCATGTGAGATGTTCTAAATCGATCGCACTCGACGAATGGCGTCGTCTATGGCGCGGAATCGTAACATGTGTGGGTCTTCCGCGTTTGTGCATTCTTTGTTCTAGGTTTTCCGGGAACCTATATGGATGTGAACGGGGTTAAGTTATAATAAAAACTAAGTCTACTCTAGTCTCAACTGAGACGGTTCAACATGTGTTGGAAGGAGTAGAAATTTATAAGGGGAAGTCATAAATTCAATTTCCTAGAGTCTAATCAATAATAAACTTAATCAGTGCCTAACTGACTGAATATACTGACTGAACAGAATGTTTATTATCAGTTGAAATATTTTTTTATTACAATAATACCAAGCCATCATCATGCAAGCATTCTGCTTACAGTGCGTAACTAATTGACAAAAATAACTACCTACGATACTGTTGAAATTAAGTGTCAGGAGGCAGTTTCAACTTTATTTACATAGGTTTTGTTTTATAAATATCATCGACACACATCGCCATTAGTTACCTAATTAAAGACACGCAAAACTTTGATCCGCGTTCTTGTTTAGAACCATAGAGTAAAGTAGTAGGTAACTGTGTAAGAAACTTTGTGTTGTAAACCTCTGTGCAAAGATCTTAAACCTTGTCTTTGTTTTTTTTACAAGAGAAAAACTTGTTCAACCCTATACAAATGTTTAGTTAGAGTTATGTTCGTGTCAAAACATGTTAAATAGGTACGTAGGTAGGTACCTATAAATTACTAGTCGAATAGAGAAAATTCTCTATATTACTGGTGCTTGCAATGTACCTACCTAGCGTAGTTTGTCCAGATAAAAAATACACTAATTAAACCAAAAATTCTGCTACCGTACAAAGTCGTAATACCTAATATTAGTGTATGTTATTTTGGAGAAGTGAAATCTGCGCAGTACAAAGAACCATGTGCGAACGTTCTAAACGTTCACACAAGTTCACTAAAGTGCACAAGCACCAGTAATATAGAGAATTTTCTCTATTCGACTAGTAATTTATAGGTACCTACCTACGTACCTATTTAACATGTTTTGACACGAACATAACTCTAACTAAACATTTGTATAGGGTTGAACAAGTTTTTCTCTTGTAAAAAAAACAAAGACAAGGTTTAAGATCTTTGCACAGAGGTTTACAACACAAAGTTTCTTACACAGTTACCTACTTGCTTTACATTACTAACTATGATATAGTTGCAAAAAACGCGATTGTGTATCACAAAGAATTAATTAACCATATGAAATTAATCCGTATAACAAAGGCCAGTTACAACTGGGTCTGGCCTCGGTCAGTTTCACAATTTTTACACGATATCTTCGTCTTCGTTTACGAAAGTCGAATGCAACAGAACACTCATTTGAACCTCGCGGTTATGCAAACGGGCATATTTCTCGTAATTATTCATTCGAGATATCGCATGGAAATTAGTGCGTTATGTCACATAGAATAAGGTTGGGTTTTGTAAGCGGTTTGATGAATGAGTCGTTAACGTTCGCTTGGTGTTCTCTGATGATGTCCTCGGGAGAGATTAGCGTGAAGATTTGACGTAATGTGGTGACAAAAAGTAGCGGTAGTAAAGAGTATCTAGTTCTTTGTTACGTGGAAGTGGTGATTAAGGGCTTTTATACTTATACAAATTGCCACATTATAGCTATTACGATTATTAATACTGTTGGTAAAAAAATCTCTGTGCCGAAAATGGACCTACCTATGCATGAAGAGGTCGAGATCGAGACTTACATAACAATTTTTAATGGTCAAAATTTGATTCGTATTAAATCTACTTCGGTAGGCGGGTACTTACTTATTGTTTTTTTTTATGATGTTCATTTTTAATTTAAACTTATTATTTATAAAACCTAACAAATTATTGTACCTACCTTATTGTTGCATTCGCAACCCTCAAAAATATTTGTCTAAAAATTGGCAACTTTGTTTCTAATATGTCAACACTTTCTTAGCAGGTTCTGTAGGTACGAACGAACTAATCTACCTTCGTATTTATACATAATTTTAAATTTGAAACACGCAGTTACACACTTACGTGGAAAGCCTGAGTCATTCGCATATTATTAAATAACTTATTGGCTATGAATTTGTAATATAGCTATTTTATAATAAGTTATTTAAATTTTGTAGTAATACCTAACATGTGTCATTCATCTTATTATGACATGGTGAGTTTTGAAGCGGCCATCTGATTAATGGCAAAGTTGTCATTGTGCTTAAACTGATGACGTGGGCGTTTATGATCAATTTACATTTTTTTTTATCAAGATACACAGCTTAAAAAGTGTTTATTTATTTTGTGCAACAAAAACGTATCTATCTGGTTATCCGTACCTACTTATGCTAATCTAAATATAATAAAGTCTAAAATAATAAGAAAAAAGTGGGGGTGCTTGTTAGTTTTCCACACACTAAGTAATTGTTTAATGATTAATAAAATTTGTACACATTATATCGGAAGAAGTACCTATGTATAGTATAGTGGGATAGATTTTATTAAAAAATCGTAATCTGGGCACCCCACTCACCATAGCCAGTGTTGCCTGGGCGGAATAAGAAATTTGATGTTTATAAAAAAACCCAACCCTAATTTTGTCAAAATTATACCAAGCTTATTAGATTTATGGTGTGGACGTAACGTTATTTTTTACTTTAATAAAATGCATCACAAAATGTCCGAGTCATCAACTTGAGATTCTATTTCCAACATATTACGTATACAAACATACCTACCTAATGAAGTGAAATCTACGCAAGAAGGATGACAATTAAATCGATTGTTATGTGATATCGATTGTCAACTCGTACGCACGTTTTCATCACATGATAGAGTCGAGTTATTGCTATAGAAGGACTTTGAAGCTTTCTAATATAAAATTACCTATACAAATACAGACATGGATAAATAGTAGGTAGGTATGTACACAGATCTATATACCTACTTATCTTAATAGATGGAAAAGTCCAAAGAAACATATCCATTTCTTTAATATATTTATTACTAGCGACCCTCCCTGGCTTCGCACGGAAATGCTGATAGGTACTAAATTTATTCACTATTTAATGGACGTTATTACGATATAAACCTTCGTCTTAAACTCACTCAATCTTGTAAAAATTGAGCATCAAAATCCGTTGCGCAGTTTTAAAGATTTAAGCATACATAGGGATATAGGGACAGAGAAAGCGACTTTGTTTTATACTATACATATAGTGATAGTGATAGTGATGAATTTTTTAAACTTCTTTTTGTTATTTCTATTGACCGTAATATTTTTCATACTTATTCGTTTAGTGTTGTTTGAGATCTAGAATGACCTTAGTTCAACTGCTCAAGTGTACAAGGAAGTCTAGAAAAAAATATGACTATAGTTGTCGAATGTGCAAAAGTATAATTATGTACCTATAACCTATATGGTAAACTTACCTATACCTTTTACCTCCAATGCTTTAGTTAAACATATTTTTCTATGTGTCACCCTCTTACAAAACTGCTGAGTCGTTCGTGATAATTTCTTAAAAGGATGTAAATATTTTGATGATTATTCGTTAATACTATCTATTACTATCAAGTTCCGTACAGGTGACGGTAGGGTATCTACTTCGTCTGAGTACATTTATACAAAAATGATTAATTATGTTATTATTATTATTGTTATCACTAAACAGCTGATTATTAGTCATGCATTATTAAACAAACAAACGCAACTAATTTGAATAATTTCAATGAACTTTTATACGTAGTTTGATTTGTGATGCACTTTGATTTTATTTGACCTTAGTAGTAGAAGGTGAGGTCATTAGAATTATTTAGATTATTTTTTTCTAATTAAATAATATAAGTAATCATAAATTACTTTCTGATTTGCACAAGTGTTAAGCTGCCTGTGTGTTTGTATTCTGGCTATACAAGGTACCTATTATTTGTATTTAGAATAGCTTTTTGCAAAAAAGCAAACTATCTCTAACAAGTAATCGAACCTCAAACTTTACAATCACACTTGAGTTTAATGGCGTGGAATCACGTTATTAATCGCCACTTAATCGTAAAGTTACATTGGAGCGCTTCTAATAAAATCAATTGTAAAAATAAAAAAATCGTCTGCCGTCAAGAAATACCGGAATGACGGAATCACACGTTACACAAAATGATAGCTGATGCCGCGATAAAGATCGCATACAAACAATAAGTAGGTGGTTATTGTTGGTATTGTTATCTTTTGTAATTGCGTTGCGTTCGATATGGAAATGTTTTGTTTACATTCTAACTTCTATGAATAGAAAACTAAGGATATCTAATAGGTTTTCTTATGGATTTTTATATTAATTCTGCTCCTCTTCCTGCTCATTCATTTCATAAAAATTGCATTTTTACAGTTATAGGCTATGATTATACAGGATCAAGTACTATGAAAACGACTTTAAAGTCACAGGTTATTAAAAATTAGTCTATTCTATCTATTCAAGTCTTTTAAAATATCTGCTATCTATACTTTTGGGAAATAAACAATACTAAGTAGGTTAAATGCAATTAATTCCTTTTACCTAACTAATATCCTATGAAAACTGTTTCTAAGTCACAGAGTTTAACTACCTATTTAAATATTTTATAAACAATACCTATTACTACAAAGAAGGTAGACTGCAATTAAGGTTTCATTACAATATTATATAATTTCATTAAATGTTAAATAAAAAACTATTTATGAAAATAATATTATTTTTTACAAAAAAAGGTAACTTATTATGACATATGTACATAAATATAATATTATGCCATTAGTTGTTGGGCCAGTCCACTTATATGTCAGGGTCTTCATTAATTCATTGACAAATTTTCTTACTCGTAACCTACAATGTTAGTAAACATTAATCTGTGTTATGGAGGTCATCTTCGCCTATTAATTAACACTCGTTCTGACCCCGATTACACGACAGACGCTCTACTTCCAAAGGGTTATGATTCCTATTATCTCACATTAGTAAATCGATAAGATAATGACTATTAATTTGCTTTAAACAACATTGCTAACTAGGAAGCTAATGTGCGCAAAATATTAAGGTTTCTAGATTAGTTCGTTGACCTTAACTAGATCTTTTGTTACACCTGTATTAGAATTAATTATGTACGTGACTGATGATGTCTGCTAATAAATGCGAACTGCTGTTCAGTAGTTTGATGTCTCTAAAACACTTCATGTTTTATTTATACCGTGTTGTGGTTTTAGCTTAAGTAGCACTCGAGTAGGTACCTACCTACCAATGTTTTTGTTGTAATTTTTTTATCTCGCTTATTTACATTTCGTCGCAATTCTTTTTTTCTTATTGATTTTTTTTATAGATGTAATTTGTAAGATACGGTTTAAACATAATCATTACTTACCCAGTTGACTATTTTCCTGAGCATCTTCGCATCTTCCCACTACTCTGATGATAGCACGTCCTGCCAGCCTCGCACAGATCATCATGGGTCGCGCCCGAGGGTCGCCTTCCTCCGCCTCACTGGGCATCCTCGCACCTCCATCGTATTCCGTAGGGGGCCTCATCACTGCACTTGATAAACAGTCACTGCACAATTCCTTAGTCAAGTCACTGCTAGGTCACGACTATGAAAGTCTTTCACAAGCTGAAAGAATCACGAATCATCTACCACCGCAGCGAAACGCGATGCGCCTGGTTCCACGGTAGCACTCTGGTAAAATTCGAGCGCCGCGTTCGCAGCTTGCCTTTATATCGTTGCCAAAACAAAGAAGCGTGGTGCGGGAGAGAGATAGCAACAACAACAAATGTCCGTCTCACTCGCACTGTCTGCTGCGCAGTTGACGCAAGTTGGCTAGTGGCGGAAGCGCGGAAAATATTACACTGGAGATGGACGAAACCAGATGAAACTTCGTCACGGGTTTTGTCCTGTCACAAAGGAATAGAAATGAATCAAATTCTAGTTGTTTTCCGCTTGGATAAACAATCCTGCGATCTCGTTTTCAGCGGAGCGCATTGTCACGTCTCCAATGAGAGCATTGTGATACAGAGCCCGTTATCTGATTGTATTGTTTGTGGGAATAATGGCTGTCTGAATGCATGTCGTTGATCAGCTCAATGTGAAAGGCTGGGCTGACGGTCGTACATGATTTTCCAGCCTAATTCACAACGTGCCATCAATGTGTTACATGTTGCAATTTATTGCGGACTCGTTCGATGCGCAAACTTGATTACAATGAATTAAAACGGTTTTATTTTTGAGTCATGAGCGCGTTGTTCAATATGTATTTCCTAGAATTGCATCATATGAGAGTAAAAGTGAATCAAATGTATAGAAAACGTATGTAGTTCATTACATTGTAACAGAATATGACCGGTTCCTCTTATAATTTCAATAACGGCCTTCGTTCACTTTACCGTCATCGATCGTGATTGAAGAAATCCGTGGAAAAGCGTTATAACTTTTAACTAATTAGTAACGCTTCGGTCAAGGACCGTACAAAGATTTCCGTCTTATAAATTGTTTGGTAAGCAGTATTGTGGAAGCCGGGAGTTCGATGTTCACAGGACAAGCATTTCAAACCTATTGACTGAATCTTATCTGAATGTTTGCTATGTGTATGACTCGACAATAGATAAATAGAAAGTGAACTATAAAGCTACAACATAATAATTGCTTCTCCGTTTTTACTTTAAAAATACGGATAAGAAGTATAATACTGTAGTCATTATAAAAAAATGGCCGCTATTTTAAAAAGTTTTTATTTTTTTAAAACGTTGCCCCACATTACGATTTTCTCCTGTGTCGTGGGTGCGTTTACAAGCATACAATTCCACATGCACATCATACCCAATTTGTAGATCACACAAAGAGTTGTTCCGTGCGGGAATCGAACCCGCGACACGTTGCACGGCAGCCAGTTGCCCAGCCACCGCGCCAACCGTGCAGTCATCGATTTATATTATCGATTCTAAAGTTCTATACTTACTATATAAACATAAAATACATATATCCAAATGTCTATTTATGTTACAGAAGTGCGTTCCACATACAATATAATTGCGTCAATTAAAAAGTTGACGTCCGAAGTATCTTGCGTTCAACGCACTGCCTTGAAGTTTCGGCCAAAGAGAGTCGTAGATTTTCGCCAGATCTAACCTTGAATGCGTGCCAAAAACTACATATATTCCCGACTGTGGTGCTCCGATTAATTTTCATCTACAGTAAACTATTTATTTTTGGAAGGTAAGCAGGAAAGTTTAGAACTATTTAGAGCATGTGTTTTTATTACGACATTCTATGTAGGTAGTATATTTGGGTGAATTTGTAAAGTAAGTAGGTATGTAAATAAAGATTATAATCTATACCGCAGTACAAAGAGAAGGTCCATACCAACAAAAATGTTTATACTATAATTATTTAATATGTGTTTCTTAATATTATGATGTAACCTTCTGTATTTTATTTGTCTATTTATCTATTATATATCTCAATATAGGAATGTATGTAAGTACATTCAATGTACTTTTTCTTTCTAGCTGTACCTATCTATTTTTGGCTGATTTATCTGATTGATCCAAAGGTTGATTGGTAGATGATATAATAAACATGTCATTTTCTAAAACCTAAGTTTGACTCTTCCTCTCGCCCTGGAAGGGAGAAGTCATTTGATAATTTGCCCTTCACAAAAAAAACAAGATCAAAGAAACTAGTAATAATGAGAAATTTTAATGTTTAGGTATTGGTGTTTCACCTTTGATTTACCTAGAAATTGTTAAACCAAACACACAAACACATCAGAAATATATTCGCATCGAACAGTGTTTCAAAAAAACCAGGTGCAACAACTTCTGAAAAATGCAGCGCGCCGAAACGTTTCTTTGTTTCATGAAATTGTTTATAATTGAGGTCAAAGTCGTCTTTATTGGATATGCTTTCCGTTTTTTTGAATAATAATTTTAAACATGTTGCCATTTTGATAGATTAAATAGTGCAACTGAAATAATCGCCTGCCTTTATTTATTTTTTTTATTTAATATGTCGGCAAATAAGCAGACGTATTACCTGATGGTAAGCAATCAGCGCCGCCCAGGGACACTCGCAACGGAGGAGTTACGAGTGCGTTGCCGACCTTTTAGGGATTAGGGATTTAGGAGGGATTGGGGGAGGGAAAGGATTGGGCCTCCGGTAACATCACTCACACGGCGAAACACAACGCTGTGGTTATTTCACGCCGGTTCCTATTCAAGAAGATTAATTACTGGTAGTTTTTTACATGTTCTTTTTACATGTAAAATAATAATCATAACTATTTATTCATTTGTTTATATGAAAGACATAAACTAACCACTAAATTTTATCAACTTTATGCTTTTATCCCTATATTTCCCGTCAGTATCGCTCCTCTTTACGAGGAAGGAAATTTATTAAATGACTACTCCTGTTTCTCCCGAAACTGACTAAATAACATAGGTACGTTCCTCCTCCTGCCCTAGTGGGTCCTGTGGTGGTCTGAGGGGTCTCAGAAGAGCCGCAGCATATTTAGGTATAGTCAGTAGAGAGCACATCTACGTACGTTACAATGACAATAGTAGTAAGAAAACAATAAACAAAAGTTACCTTTACAGATTCCTCCAAGAGTTCTAAACATAACTATAATATTATGAACAATAACATGTAGCTTTTGTATTAAAATAATACGATTGCACTCGATACGCTTCCTACACGAAGCGACCTCGTGTCTATAAATTCCTGTTTATTCCTTTCTTCTAACGCCCTACTTTTGAAGCGATTTGCGTTTTTTTACCGGGTAATTTATTACCTTAGTGTAATTTAAAAATGTAAACATGGAAAATTTCATGTTTATAATTTTTTTTTTCAATGTTGACGACAAATTTGATTTATTTATCACCATACCAACTCATGTCCTTGGTGTCATACCAACTCATGTCCTTGATGTCAACTTGAGTGAGTTCAAATCATATCCTTAAGTGTGGGAGAGCCATGCATCGGCACGAATGGGTCGGCTCAACCGGAGTGATACCACAGCCTCACAGAAAACCGGCGTGAAACAACCACAGTGTTGTGTTTCACCGTGTGAGTGAGGTTACCGGAGGCTTAATCCTTCTCCTCCCCCAATCCCGAATCTCCAAATCAATAATTCGTAAAAGGTCGGCAACACACTCGTAACCTTGCTTACCATCAGGTAATCCATCTGCTCGTTTGCCGACCTACTACACAAAAAAAACTCCAAAAGGCGGACAACGCTCTTGCAAGTCTTCTAAACTCTGCGTGTTGCGGGAGTCTATGGGCGGCACCGCTTGCGTACCATCACGTGATCCGTGTATCAAAAAAAAAAAAGCATTTGATACACGCCAGGCAGCAATATTCTCTAATAAACTTGATCTTTTAAATAGCTGTCTCTGATCTGATCTGATTTTGGTAAAACCTGTTTAGGTATACACCGAGAAGACCTAGAGTCTCATCAACGGACTGTCAGCTGTTGATTGACAATGATAAACATTTCAACATTTATTCAGATTTTATGTTAAGAAAACAATAAACAATTGTCACAATGTTTTAATATTGTGATTTCCCTGATTCATTTCGAACAAAGCTTTTGGGGAAACGAGATTTATTCACAGTACGAAAGTGGTTAATGACGGATGTTTGAAAAATAAACACGATGACGCAGTAACCACGCGAGCTGCGCCCGCGCATTGAAAATGTAGTTTAATGGATTTGTAGGTACTTTTGACAGTTTAACTACTTACAGATTTTCATAGAAGTTCAACATCTGTATTTACTCACAATTTAGCATAAGTTTTATCCCTTTGTCACAATATACGCCTCGTAAGATTTACATTTAGCAAAAATCTCTAATTTCTCGTAATTTCAAACGATGTTTGAGCTGTTGTAGTTTGTAAATCACTATCAATAGAATAAGCTGTCAGCAACATATCATTTCTAATTAAAGACGATATCTATATAGATATTTAAAACATAAGTAGGTATGTATGAAATAATATTCTATTACCATACAATAATTTATTGATGGGCGGTGTTGTTAGGCGACAACTGAGCCAGAAAATGTAGGGCTTTTCTCAAATGTACGTGTGTACACGACGGCAGACGGCTGATGTCATTATGTTTCTATCTTTCTTGTTTTATTGTAGAAAACTTGTAGAGAAAGGGAATACAAAAATTTTTTGATACATACTATGTAACTAAAAATCCTTGACACTGTTTTAGAAATGGTACGATTATCTGGTCCATTACTGGCAATCATCGCGTCTACGAACATGCGTACAGACGCCAGTAGGTCAAACTATACGTATTGGACAAATGTTTTAATGGATTATCGACTTTGTATCAAAACAATAAGGTTGATCTACTGACGGCAACCATGTGTATATGAGTTTTCCGTTTGCCGGCCACTTATCTCGATGATCCGACGCACGCGCAGTTCGGTGACGCACAAAATTTTCCGTCGGTCGTACGCTGACATTTCGCAGAAGTTTTTTCTCAAGCAAAACTTTGAGGTCGATCCTTTGTGCTATTTCAGGAAAATCTGGACACAAGCCAGTTCCCTGTATAACGCATTCGACGCAGTACTTTGATCCCTTCGTCCTTACACGGTAAATTGGGCTTTATGTTCAGGGAATAAAGATGAAATGATGAAAGCTTTAACGTTTGTTTTTGCTTGCGAATCCGTTTATTAATTTTCTTTTGTTTATAGCTAAAGTCTAGATGGGGATATTGGCTCGAGATTTTGGTAATTGTTCGCTTGTTAGGTTTGATGTTGAAGATTTTCTTTAATGATCTTCATTCCTTAGTTAATTCTAAGACATTAGAATCTGGTATTGGTGCACAAGAGTTTCAGAGAATAACACGTTAAAAAAACCACCTCTTAATAATGTTTTTTTTTTCAGGAAAATGTACATCTGTGCTGTGTAGTTTGTTTACAAGATTCGCATTGTTTTGATAGTGAGTAGTAAATGCGTAGTACATAAATGTGTTTAGCGTCTAATCTAGCGTCCGAAATAGAACGAATACAGCTGTTTTACTTATTTTAATTGGTTCGCTTTCATATCAACAAGATTTGCGTTGTCAAGGTCAGTTTTGTGTAAATAGGTATTTGATGATATTTTCATATTATGTGAAAGATAAATTTGTTTTTTTATTTATCTTCCGTTACTGCCTAGCCTATTTCGATGTAAACATACTCCTTGGCCAGTTTTGTTTTTAGTCCAAAATTTATTGGAAAAACTACTTACGTGCTGCTGTTGATTAAGAGTTCTGTTAAGACTTGAAACTACTAGAACAATTTAACAAGTCCTATTTTTCAAATGTTGATCAACACAACGACTTTCTTACATGTCGTGTGTAAATTAAAATCATACAATTTTACATTCACGTTACACCCATACTCGGAACAATATTTGCATATCACAAATATAATATAAAATAAATTATTAATTTAAAAAATATCTTAACTTTAAATAAATGGTGAAAATCGTTTGATTTTCCATGACATTCGTTCTCAGACAGTTTGCCGCTACGCTAGTGACGGATGACGTCATGGCGTCACGCTTTTTAGGTGACTCGGTCACTGATTAGTCAAGTGTGAGCCGTGGTACGATCATTAGCAATCACTGGTTAAGTAGACGAAGTACTTATTATTTTATTACTCATCAAACTGTAGTTGAGATTCCCTGAAATGTACCTACATTAATAGATAGTTTTTTTTTTATCATTAAAGCATTTGTAGCAGTCGATTTTTTTTGTTTGAAAGACAAAGAGATAATGTTACTTTTTCACATTTATGTGTTATCAAAAACTTCCTGTTACAACAACAGCTAGCTATGTTCTTAGGTGTGGTGTAGGTTCGACTACTTTCGAGGTATCTTGAAATAAAACGAGTAGGTTCACAATGAACAATAATGTAATATCATCAAGTGGGCGCGTTGTCGGCGCGTTGCTGGGCGAGTTGCGCGGCCGCACAGCAGTGCAACATGAGCGCGGTCAGTGCGCATGCGCGGAGCTCCCCGCCATTGGCGTCGCCCGCGCTGCTCGCGTCTTCAGCTGATAACTCTTCACGAACAGCTTGTAGCTGAGGAAAGAAATAATTTATTTGTAATACTGGATTAAATACTTCCTGCCACATTATTTTAATGAAATTCTCAGACCTCAGATAGAAAAGGTTAGAAGGGCATTGACAAAATATTAAAGCACACGAATATAAAAAAAGAGAACTGAGAAATAATTCGGAAAATGAAGAAGACTTATAGCAGGGGATAATTCTATCGTTATAACGACAGACAGTAATGACTGACTGACTTAAAAACTAATATGAAAGACCGAAGTCAAAATCTGAGGACGCTTTGACTTGCGGCAGACGAAAGTAACTTCGTCTAAAGAAACTATGAGTACTAAACTTTGTTGTTAGAATAATCTTCACAGTTATAAGTAAAAACAGACTTTTACAAACAAACTCTCTTTTGAAGAAATAAAAATAATTAACAATTTATCATTCTAGCAGTAAATTCTGTTAGGCTAAATATAAGTTTTATGACTCGGACTAGATCGATTGAAGGGGATAGAGGGTGGCCTGTTATAGATGACCTCTAGATCATCTTAATAAATCATACAATATTAAGAAGTTTTAATTTTTTTCGGGGAAGGTCACCTTATTTTAGAATCGTGGTTATACAGAATACCTATTGACAAATTGTGCGGATTTTCATATCAAAACTAAGGAAAATAAAAATTGTATTCTTAGTTCAATGACCTCGACTATGCTATTACTCATTCGTGCTCCTATTCTGCGAATCATGATAGTGCAGAAATAAGTTGTAATAGAGCATTACAGTGCAACTACTAGTACTGTAGATACTAATAATAACATAGGACAATCTGCACATGTCAATTCGGTGTTTCTGTTTAACTGTTGTCATTGGACCAATCTCATATATTATGAACCTTTAGAGCACTTACGAGTATTACACGATAATGATGATTGTTTTGTAAGATATCTTTGCGCCTATTGTCAACGTACAGAGAACTGTTTATCTTGGGCTGTCATCAGAAGACCTACCATGTCATGAATCTGCTGCGCGGTGAGGCGGCTGGCGAGCTCAGGCGCGGAGTCCCGCGCGGCCGCGAGCAACACGTCCGGCGGCAGCGCGCTGCGCAGGGCCGGCGCCAGCATGGCGCTCACGCCGCCCTTCGCCAGCCACGTCGCGCCGCACGCGCCGAACGGGTTGCACGACTCCAGCGACTGCTTCCTTTACGTCACACGGGCTGCTCGTCAACAAAGTGTAGGCTCTTTCTTTCTTTAACCACTTCGCGTGAGAAGAATTTGAAAATGAGGATAGATATGAAGACATATGAAGTCTTACTTGAGTCACTACCTTCGTGTGACAGTAGCTGATAGATTGCAGTGTGGCTTATGTACCGTCTACTGTATCTGGGAGTGTGGCGGACAGCGTGAGGACCAAATGCGTGTAGCGCGAGACGTGGTAAAGAAGTAGGCGTAGTTGGGAGAGTCAACTTGGCATTCTATGACTACCTACATTCTGTGTTTGTACAATAGAGTAAAGGACAACGAGCTACCTAGCGCAGTGTGTCAGCATTTCAATACTTTCTAACCAACCCAAACATTCAGATACTCCAATAATGGGGGGAGGGGATATGACAAAGGTACCGAAAGAGACTAAAAGGGGGTACAAAGATATACAAGGATACAATACAGAAATCCTAACTACGAATGGAAATAAACACACGACACAATACACACAATTTTACGGAAAGCTATTTGATACTATAAAAAATAAAGTTTAGCATAAACGTTTCCAATTTAGCTTAAACCTCATCTTAGGTTTTCTCCTCTCATTCCTACATACACAGGATATCTAGGACTTTCTTTGTATTCCACCAGAAAATAACTTTTATTAAAATCGTAATCATAGTCAGTAGAAATCAAGTATAACTTCTGCAAGATGCTGCTGCTGATCATCCATGTATGTCATTGCCATTGTATGTTTATCATACTGAATTACACAACAGTATATTTTAATACAATAAACGTTATTAATAGATTTATGAAATTAAATCAAACGCGAACTAACGTCAATGGATTGATATTTGTTCTATCAAATTAAATGCTTGGTATTGAAACACTCCTTACACACATACACGAAGAAACACACAGACACGAAAATGAATGGAACTTTGGAAACGGTAAGGGACAGCAATAGGAGTGAAGAAGAGAAAACAAAACTATCAGTGAAATACCTTTGTGTGTCTTCAAACGTTGAAGGACATAATGATGTGCGAACTAATAAAAACAAAGTAGAGTATTATCACGTAACTCGTATTATGATAAAGGTACCTAAACATTTTAATGGTACAGTTTTTTTAAAGATTGTCAGGTCAAGTAGTGTTGTTTGTTGAAAAAAAGTAATTCTTCAGGGCTGAGCGCAGTGGCTGTTGCTCGTTTGGGATTAGGCGAAATCGACATTGCACATAGTCATTTTTCCGGAGTGTGTAGAGTTTCATCAAGAATTAATTTGGATTCAATTGTTTCAATAGTCGTTGATATGTTTAGATTATCTACAGTTAATGTTATCGAGTTGTCTTGTTATCGAGTCTCTTATGTTTGAGGATACACAAAACAATTAAATTAAATTCATATGCCCTGAGCCCAGCCCTACATTGCCGACTAAACTGTCAATAAGAATAAGCGTTACACAGATCGAAACGTCACTAAATGTTGGTGCATTAGAGTCTAATTTTGTGCTTCCTCTTAAATTCTGGTGTCTTTACCGGTTGGAGACATTGCCAAGTGAAGAGTACGACATGGGTGAGTGCTTAACATACCTGGGTGTGTGACTAGGAGATGGTGGTAAGGACCTTGAAGATGCGTTGGTTTTGGGCGCAGATAAGGAATGGGCGGAACCGGCGCGTCGTAGTCCAGCCACTAGCGCGCTCATCGCTCCACCACCTGATGTACCAACAATATTTTTGAAGGGAGATATAAATGATGAGACAGAAATGGAAGGAAGGAATTTTAAGACAAATAATGTTAGAGGATCACAGTTGGGATCGAAATTGGATAGGTTTAATAGGTGGCTAGAAAAAAGATGGAGTGTGTAACAAAAAGTTTCCTAATGACTAAATTAGTTTTCATAAACATTGTAGTTAGAATCTATGATTACTTTTTCTACTATTACCAAAGAACACTAATTTGTAATTAGCTCAGCTAAGATTACACAAACGCAATAAAACCGTGAATGTAGAAATTATAAAATAAAATTTAATGAGATATTTCGCGGTATTTTGAAAACGGTATAGATATTCGGTATATATATACGGTATATATATTTAACCAGAGCGTTAAAGGACAAGTTAAATATATTACCACATTTATAAGGAACTCTTTGCTTGGAAAATAACCAAATGGCTAGTTGTCAAGTTGGTACAATTGGGTTAATTTTTGTTTTATACTGTTACATCGTTGATATATTTGATTGCCTCACATTATGTGACTGAGTTATGGCGGAGGTATGTTTCTTAGACCCGACTACGTAATATTCTGTGTTGCATACTTTTTATTTGCTTTCTAATATAGCTGCAGTGGGAGATCCCTCTGTATCTATGGGCTTTTTCTTATCCGTTGCCCTTAAGTGATCTTCGTTTATTTTACCCTTACTTTATCCTTTTCAACAAGGACCAAAAAAAGACAACGGGTAAATTTCAAAATCAAATTCTTTAGATTCTTAGCAACCATTGAATTTGGAATCATAGGCATAAAGATACAAATCTGCGTAGAAGTTAAATACGTACATATAAAAATTGTTTCCAAAACGCAATTCTAATGCAATAAATATAATTATATTAGATCATAGCGATGGCCCAGATATTTTCACTCGTTTTGTTTTTAAAAGGGCCACTGTGAAATTTTGGGGTTAACGACCGCGGCAGACATAATATGATGTAAATAATTACATGGTGCTTTATTTCATGTGTTTTTATTGATGTTTGTACGAATGTGCCTTATGCAAGAAGTATTAATGTGTTTGAGGTGTGATAGTGAGTTTTGTGTCAATATTAATGGCAGGTTTGTTTATAGATATTGTATTTTAGTTGGATAAACTGATGCGTCAGTGTGGGCTGTGCAATGTGGAGGGCGAATTTTATGCAGATTTTGAAGACCTCGTAAATAAGGGGATTTTTATGGGTTTTACTTAAAGCATTATTGTTTTTTTAATCTAGTTGGGTGGTGAGTGCTGTATCTCTAAATCTATCCTTAACCAATCAACAAAGTAATATACATTTCCTTGGTTGGGCTTTAATTACCTAAATGGTAAATTGCTAAATATTTATCACATTTGCACACCTGAAATGTTTGTAGGAGTGGGACACTATGGCCAATTAGGACTACATGTGAGTGAAACTAACTAATATATTTTTATACATCGAGGATAGATCATCGCATATGATATGTATGTAATCAGTGGCGTAGCTAGGGGGGCAAGGGCCCTGGTGCACAGGGAGAGAATCGGGCTCTCCTCCCCTCTTTCCGCGCAGTTTGGACTTATTGATATGAAAATAGGGAATAAGAATAGGAAACAGTGGGTTGAATCATCCCTAGTAAGCTAAATCCATACGTCGTCTCTATTAAAATCTTCATGTGTTCAATGGAAGAAAAAGGGGGTAAATAAACAACGACGCACATAACAATATAGGATATTTATTAATTAAAAGAAAAAAAGTTTTTTAAGAGAATTCCCCGCCCGATTTACAATCTCTTGCGCGCTTTAATGTTTGCGAATTCGTCTATAATTTCACTCAATTCCAAGTTTGATGCCGCCTCATTTTCTATTGCAATCAACGATAAATGTTGAAGGCGATCTTGGCCAATGCTGTTTCTTAAATATTTTTTTATAATCTTCAGTTTACTGAAAGATCTTTCTGCTGCCGCGGAAGTAACAGGAATTGTGTGAAACAGTAGCATCGCTGTATACACTTCCGTAAGGTCACATTCGAGCACGCCAAATTTCGTTATAATTTCTTTGCATAGCTGGTGAATAGACCACGTCTCCATCAATTGAGGGAGGATCAGATGATACACATTAAGAAATTGGAGCGAAAAAGTGGGTCCAATTATATCACAATATTTCTTTTGAAACTGATCACATTTTTTGAGTAAAATCGTTTCATTCCAGCTGAGCAGATTTTTTGGAATCATGAAGTCGAACGATTTACAAATTGCACTCATACCTATAAAACGCGCATCTAACTGATTGATTATTATGTCGAGTACACTGTTGAAAATAGTTACTCTAAAGACTTCTTCCTGGTTTTCGAATCGGTGATCAGAAGCCAATTCATCGAAATGCTTTTTAGTTTTTCTTCGTCGCTTTTCTAGGAAGGTAGGATCGATGTCGTATTTTCTTGCGGTTTCAATGGCCTTGGACTTGAAGGACTCGAAGTCATTTCTATACTTTTTCAATTTATCCGTTGTTTCGTCCAAAGCCTTACTCGCTTCGTCCAAAACGATATCACGTTTTTGCAAAACTTTGGAAACATAATTGATATTGTTCAATACGCTGTGCATGAATTCACAAAGAAATACAAACTCGAAATTCAGCATTTTTGATTTTATAATCTCTGCTTCACTGCGTTCGTCTTTACTGGAACTCTTCAGCGTTATTTCGGACAATGCTTTGATGATATCGAAAAAACGAAGTTTGACTGCAGTTATTGAATTAACCCTGCTGGACCATCTTGTTGGATTCAATTTTTTCAAAGTAATTTCTGATTCACCGGTGAATTTCGATAAAAGGTCCCAGCGCTTAATGCTGTTTCCAAAGAAGTTAAATAAGTCTTGAATTGTTGCAAAAAACTTCTGAATTTCGGCGGAACCTCGAACGGCATCATTTATGATTAAATTCAAATTATGACTGGCGCAATGTACGTACTCTGCGTTTGGCTGAATATCTTTAATTTGTTTTTGCACACCAGTATACGCACCACTCATTACACTGGCCCCATCGTAACCTTGCCCAACACACTTTTTAAAATCAAGACCCTTTTCGGAGAACAACGTAGTAACTTGATTTACCAAATCCGCGGCGCTGTGTTTAATGACTGCGTGGAAACCTAGAAATACCTCTCTTACTTCAATGTCGATTGGTTGTCCATTTTCCGATCTTGATATCACTGCATATCTTACGACAATGCTCAGTTGATCCACTTTTGATATGTCCTGCGTGGTATCCATGATGATGGCAAAAAACGGTGACGCCCTAATTCGATCCAACAAATGATTCTCGAGTTTTGTGCCCAAACACTCGATCATTTCATTTTGAATCGTTGCACTCAGGTATCTTGTTGATCCTAAAAACATGGGGATATTAGAAAACATCGGATTATGATAACATAAATTATAAACACAGTAAACCGTTGTGTTTCGCCGTGTGAGAGGTTACCGGAGGCCCAATCCTTCCCCTTCCCGGACCCTTCCCCAATCCCTAATCCCTAAAAGGTCGGCAACGCACTCGTAACTCCTCCGTTGCTGGTATCCATGGGCGGCGCTGATTGCTTACCATCAGGTAATCCGTACGCTCGTTTGCCGACTCATTACATAAAAAAAACGAGATAATTTCTTACCTTTGGGCATATCCAAAACTTGACGCATGATGTGGTCGTATCTAGCGACGAGTTGGACAATTGAGAGAAAATTTCCGTGGTTTCCTCCCTCACTCAGATCCTCTCGATGTCCTCTCAAAGCCAAAGAACTCTTCGCAAGAGTAATTATAATATCAAATAATCTGCGAAGAACTTGTCTCCAAAATGATGCTTCTTTGCGAATTTCATCTTCAAGTTCTCTGTCGATGGTGGAACTTTTTTGCCACGCTTCATATACAGCGCACGCCTCCGTGTGTGCTTTCGAGGAACCATGTTGCTTGATTCTGTCTGATAAATGCCTCCAGTCCCGAAATCCAGTGCACCATGCATTTATTTGCGAAGCGAACAACCAACACGGTTGGCAGTAGGCAGCATCCAGCATTTTGGAGTAACATATCCAAAAACGATCAACTGGACCGTATTGTGACGTAGAAACGTAATACGTTTCTGAAAAGCTCCTGTTGTCTTGGTGGGGGTCCTTCGGAAAAGGTCCCGGAGGTTTCAAAGGTCCCTTGTCAAGAATCAGACGTTTTTCGGTATCACTCAGTTTCTTGTTGATGTAATTTCCCAAGTCATTTGAAATTTCGAGAACCTTTGAAAATGTAGAAATTGATGATTCCTCTACCGTAGGTTGCACGGAAGCGTCGAGGTAGTCATTTTCAGCAGGGGCATTGATGGTAGTTTTTTGAACGATGACTTCGGCACTTTTGATCGATGTTTCGGCTGTTGAAGGAACTGTAGCAGAAAGCGGTTTCGTAAAAAAGCTATCTAGCTTAGGCAATTTTTTTTTACTTTCTTCTCTTTCTTGTCGTTGTTTCCGCTTTGCGGCACCGCTACGTTCCTTTTTTCGTTCCATAATTTTTAATTGGTAACTATCGAAATTTTAGAAATCCGGAGTACTCACTGAGATTTTCCTATATTGCTTGTTAATGTTTAGTGTAGATTACAGCAAGCTCAACAGAAAATAACCATAAAACAGCTTGTTTGGTAATAATGTGGTAAAATCAATGTTAATTCATAAGAAGATATTATCGTTTCTATAGTAGCTCGTTTGTCAATTTGGACTTGAGTTTAGGTAAACGTTTATTGCCGATCAGGTTGAGAGCTATCATACATTATACGGTTAGCGTTGTGCTGCAACCTGTATCGTACATATCTTGTCATCGGATTTTTTTTTTTGCGAAAATGAGTTTTACTAGAATTTGGTGCCGGATGGATGGATGGATGTACGGAATAGAAATCATAACATTAGTGGTGATACTTGATGAAATAAGGCTTGTAGTAGGGAATTACGAAGTACAAGAGTAATAGTCAGCGACACACCTAGCTTCAACTACTGTAGTACGTCACAGACCCCAGAAATTTGAAAAAATCGCCGGAAATATCATAAATAAGTACTGATGCAAGGCAAGAGCGAATGAAAACTTCATTAAAAAAGCGATGGGCGGAATTTGTGAATTGACCTCACGACCGTCAAGCACGTGAGATGATCCAATGTGCTACGGGCAGACTCATCCAAACTACCATATAACTGAAATAACGACAACAAACAAACAGCACATACTTATCGAGGACGCTTGGCGCATGTGTTGAAAATGTTAAACAAGGAGTTTAATCATTGGTGGTGTTGATTTAAATAAAAAAAATTTTTTTTTTATTTCTTTTAATTTTTCATTTTTTTCAAAGCTGAGGCTAGAGGGCCCCCTGAGCTCGAGGGCCCTGGTGCATGGCACCACCTGGCCCTATGATAGCTACGCCACTGTATGTAATGCTATAATTGTTTCAAGTCATGCGAAAGAAACTATAATTTTAATTGTCACTATAAAGGAAGAAATATTGTCACTAAGAAATTTCGAAACCAACCAATCAAGAGTAGGATAAAATATTGACATTGGGCAGTAAAGACCACAGTACACGGGGCTCTTAGGGGTCTAAAGGACCACATTAGGACTTGTCACAGACAATACAAATGGAGTGCCGTATTAATATAGAACAAGAAACCTGTAGTATGTTAACGTGACGGGTGTAACTGGAGTTGTTAATACAGCGAAAAGTTGTCCGTCTGTCAGCATTCAAATAATTCGTCTGTACACAAAAGAAAATAAAAACAAATAAATCTTAACCGACATTTCGAATTAACCCAAATAACGCACTTATTACAGAATTATAAGACACAATTTGATTTGATCACGTAACATAATGTAATGAACACACAGTTTTGCCAATTGAAATTAAACTCTGACTATTTTATTTTGAATTGGATTTACACTTGAATGCAGCTAAGTATTGATTACAATTATCAAGACTTTATATAGCCTACTTCAAATATAAACCAAGATAAAGAACATTTTTGCGTGGCAAAAAAATTTGTATCTAAAATTGTCTTTCTTCATTCTTGTTCGAAAATGATGTTGATTAAACTTTTTGAACTTGACATATTGAGTTCTAGCTTTTGCCCGCGACTCCGTTCGCGTAGAATAGTGACTTCCTTTCTGAAGATTTTTGGTATAAATACTATCCTTTGTCCTTTGTCGAGTTCCAAACTATGTCTATACCAAAAAACAGAAATCGCTTCAGTAGTTTAGGCGTGAAGAAAAGACAGACAGACAGATACACAGAGTTACTTTCGCGTTTATAATATTAGTATAGATTTTTAATATTAGTATAGATAAGTACCGCGTTACATTAAAATTTATTGACTATAGTTTCCATGTTATTTGACTTCAAACTTTGCCTGAAATCCCGTGCCGCGAAAACGATCTTAGAAGTTAAGGAACCAATACCATGAAGAAATCTAAACATACAAGTTTTATTTACAGTATGCCTGGTTACTCCTTCTAGGCATAACGTGACGTTACATTATTACGTAAATATGTAATTTATTGATGACACTTCGAAAGTGTAAAGTAAAATGATGGATGTTGCCAAACGCTCGCACAATGTTGGCAGCCGATCTAAATAACTGCGCAAACGCAACGGGAAGTAAGAGACGACGCAAGCGCCTCTATCGTTGATCACGGAACGAGTAGATAGATAGTATAGTAGTTATATCACTATTTTGTTGTGCATGAGAAATAATCAAGTCTTAGATAATGTTAGGACTAATTAATCTGTTATGGAATTATTTTTTGTTGTTTTAATATTCGTGTCAAGTATGTAATAGTTATTGCCAGCATGGATTTTGAAATTTGCGTTCCATTTTCAAACATTCATAACATTTCTGTTCATTGATTCGTAGCAAACTTCGTAGTAATAGCTCATGCCTCTTACTAATGTGTCAAATTATCAAACAAAAACAAACCATATGCTGATAGTCCTATGTTAAATTGTTGCCTAACTAATATTGTCTAATCAACGATAAGCAGGACGCTACAGCCAAATTATCTACCCAAACTCACCCTCTTCGTGGACATCTAGGGAGTCTTTTCTCTCGGGTTCATCGTCAGAGTCAGGGTCAGCAATGGTATCGGCTTCGGTCATGATCAGTTCCGGAGGTGGGCAGTTCATTGTACTAGTTGAGTCTAGAAAAAACAAACAAATTTAACCTTTCAATCGTGGTATTACGAGAGAAAATGGAAGAACTATAAGTGCGGCAACGTCGGTGTGCGCTTGGGGTTTGATGAAATAATTGTAGATAATGTAGGTATAGGTACCTAAAGCCAATGATTCATCTATATTGAAATTTCTTAGATCGAGTATACGTTATTGAAAATTTGATAGCAATAAATTGATCAGCGCCGCCCATAGATGCGAGTTGAGACTCCTTTTTCTTGATGACTTCTTTACTTGTTTCTGCGTTGCCGGCATAATAATATCTTACTTATATTAGGTACATTACTATTCCGAATTTAAAGAAGAACTTGGGAATGACAACGGTTTATTTGCCCAACCACATGCCCTTAGGATTTAGGCATCATGTCGTGTCATTTTTTCGTGTCAGATTTTCGCATCATAATGATCCGAAACACAAAACACCGGTGTGAAACAAGCACAGCATTGTGTTTCGTCGTGTAGGAGACGTTAATGGAATTAGAGGGCCATTCTTACCCCTCCCCCACCCATCATCAATCCTTGAATCCCCTTATCTTATAATGCCCGAAACGCATTTGCAACTCCTTTAGTGTTGCGGGTGTCCATAAGCGGCACCGATTGCTTACCATCAGATAATCCGTCTGCTCGTTTACCAGGGTATCACATAAAAACATCGTTTTACTTAGGATATCTAATACTTATATTTAAAACAATAAAAACCACTTTCTAAAATGCAATAAAACATATCTTTACAGTCATCATACTATTGTAATACATAGTTTATTATATCGTAAGTATAAGTAATTTATAATTATGTACGTAACATATAAATAAGTATAGTTTACGTAGAGTTGCATTAACTAAGTTAGTATAAAAGTATAGTAATGTTTAAGTAGAACAGAGGTAATTGTAATCTGTTTTCCGCATTCACTGTGCAATGCACGCAGCCTTCTGAATTTTTATATTAATGCCATGTCGGAATCTCGGCTTCGCCGTTAATAAGTATTTTTCTTTACATTAATTGCATAACGTATTACATACTTTTTTCTCTGAATGTTTTTATAGGTTAATTAATCGGCGCCGCTCACAAGCATGGGGGAAATCATCAAATGACTTCACCCACCCAGGATAAGGAGAGAGTGTCAGACTCTTTCTGACAAAAGACCCCCCGTTCCTTCTCCTGCTCTGGGCTGAGGCTGCGGAGACTCATTGCGCTTAACCCGCAACCCCGGCTGAACATCAGCCCTATAGGGCCCCGTTTGTGGTGGTATTGGTTCTTTGAGGCGCACGCGGAACGTTACGCTACTTTTATTCGCCGCCCAAAATTTTTGCGAGGTCCTGGTATCACTTCGGTCGAACTGGCCCATTTGTGCCGTAGCGTGGCTCTTCCACAAATACTGACATAAAATATAATCTAGGAAGATTATATTTTTAAATACAAAAGTATTACCTACAAGAAAATATATCCAATATTATAGGAAAGTTATCTTTCCTATAATATTGGATATATTTTCTTGTGTCATTGCATGTATCATTGTACATATAAATGTACAATGATATTGTAAGTAAAATGGTATAGCGACCAATTCACATAATGAAATTCGATTTTCAAAAACGACATAATGCACACAGGGATAAAGCGTCTGTTAAACGTTAAAGTGGGATGGCATGATTCAATAATCGCGAGTGAAAAAGAGACAAATATGAAGAAGTGTGGCTAGTTAGCCACATTTTAATGTATCACTTGAGCTGCGCTCTTGTAACCTATCTACACCTTTTTATTTATAATATCATTGTATGTAGATATTATATCGCGCGCTGAGGAATGATACTGCAATTTACTGATCGCACGCGTGTCTATTTTTGCAACAGTTGCACATAATGACACTAATATGAAATAAATGTATCGTGCAATTCCCGCTCACATTTTAAGTAAATATGGAACTTACATTCTGCTTTTAACTACCAATGAAACAAGCTACATCTATCTATCTATTTATATATATTAAAATCAATGCCACTTTTCGTTGTAATGTTATAACTTAACAATGCGTATACCGATTTTGCTAATTTTCGTGTTGAAGTAATCGTGGAAGTCCAGAGAAGGTTTGTAGGTACGTAGTAACGTCGAAAATTAAAAATATCTTGAAAACGTGTAAAATCGACATCCATGCCGCTCGTTTTTCTATATAATCCTTGCCCTCAATAGGTGCGTTTACAAACACATTTCACATACGCATCACACTTATCAGACCTGTTTGCGAATCACACAAAGAGTTGTTCTGTGCGGGAATGGAATGTTGGATAAAAAGGTCTGGTTTAATCGTATCCGTAATGATTCAGTTCTTAAGGAAAGCTGTTTCATTAATTTTAAGAGAATACCTAAATTCTGTTTTGAATGAAATATTGTTGATCTGGGAATTTATTGTGTGTACGTACGTATAAAAATAGGTACCTACTTACTCGTAATTTCTGTCTTTAAAGATTTCTTGGAGTTTGTTGTATTTTCACTTATTAAAAGTACCTAATCGTATGTTCTTTGTCTTTCACATAAGTAAAAACTATAGAATAAATAAGAAAAATTATAATAGCTAGGTACATTTTTGGATAGATGTTGGAGGCTTACACATTCTTTTGTTTCATATTAAGTTGAAAAGGTTGAAGGTTATAATCAATGATGTATAAATCTATAGATACGTTGTCCGCGCTCTAAAATGGCAACATGAAATGAAGGCAATTTGACAACATCGCGCTTAGTCACGCACCAACCTCCCGCGCGACGCTACGTTTGTTATAATTTATATCGTGTGTGTAAACCTGTGCGAAACTAAAGAAAGCATGCCGTCGTGTGTGTTCAGAGGATGTACAAATTATACTCTAAAAGTTAAATACAAAAATGTGTCATTTCATGCGTAAGTTCACCAAACAACCTATTTTTATTTTATTTTTTTCGACGCCGGCGCCCGCCATCTTGTGGCGGCCGGCGCATGAAGGTATAGTCACGTGCCGTCGGCATAACTGAAGATGTATATTTATCTCCCTCTAGCAAAGGCATTCTACTATACGATGTCATATTTTCTTTCCCTTTCTTTACTCGTAGAAGTAGTTATCTAGTATTTTCGCCGTTTTTAAGCGCCGCGATGTTGGTTCATGACGTGTCTATATATAATACGTCATTGGTTATAATAATAATAACGTTTATCAATCAAGAACAGTACAAAGTTGTAGTCACTTTTATTTTCCGAGAAAAAAAAAACCATGATGGCGAAACGAAGTGTCCAACTGTTACAGACAAAAATTGAGGGATGACGTTTGAGGGACAACCCTAACAGTATACATATCTACTGGCTATACTGGCAGATAAAATTGATAGCCCATTACATGTGCGTCCTGATGTCCATGTAAATAATTACATACATATAAATACATATTAAAATATTAACTAATAATTTCTATGGATCTTTGGTCTTAAATAAAGAATTTTATTTAAGTAATTAATTTAATAAAACAAAAACTTCCATTCTTCCCCTGTTCCCGGACGGGGCCGAAGAACGAAATTGTGGTAACCTCAACTAAGTTGGGAAATGTCCAGAAGTAGCCGTCTTTCTTCCTTATTTTCCCTTAAAAGTTTGCCAAATTAGGTACCTATACTTCAGTCTTTTGCCTTCAATATATTAACAAGGGTATTATTCACAATATTTCACGCAATAAATACACCTGTTTTAACGCTAAATATAAGCAAACACAGGTGAAAGCTTTGCCAAAATTATGAAGTGTAGTGCTTTTGTAGAAGTTCGTACCTTTGTATATTAGGTGTACAGATAATATACATGGAAGTAATTTGTTTTTATGTCATTTACAGTATATTAATTATCTAATTATATTAATAGAATAAATATATTCTTACTAAAATTACGTTTCTTGTAAAATGATTGAAACTATCACAACAGCGCTTATGGACAGATTCATTTTGTTATTTTGCCAAGTAATAAATTTTCTAAAGGAAATTAGTGTTTTACGATACCTCATAAACTTAATTATAGAAGAAGTGTTCGGTTCTTGCCATCATTTGTGTATTGCGTTGTCATGTAGCTTAAAATTACAGATGATCTTGCATTAAATACTAATCATTTATTTTCGCACAAAAACAAATGGTACTCCTTTCTCGATACTTTTAATAATGGAACGCATTATTTACTTCTTTCAAATATCAAAATATTTGAAGGTCATCGACCGTGCTGGCCGTTAACACATTTCGAATGTGACGAGATTATTTTGGCGCGAATTCAAACCGAACTCGATGACACAAATATAGAAGTTTTATTCCTTTTGCAGAATATTTTCGGGATACAAACGTATTTGCAATTTTTTTAAAGAATGTCAGCACCTTTTATATATAGAATGAGATTTTTGAAAAATGTAGCGAAGCAATGACTGACTACTAGTGACTTTGTTTTTGTATTAGTCTATTAAATAGCACAGGAAGCTGTATACGGCTCGGTTAATCGATAAAAGAATGGTTCTATAAAAATGTAATAATGGAAAACGTAGACATGAGTCATGACATACCTTATTTAGTTGATTTAATGATATTATAAGAAAAACCTTTAGACCTTTATATTATATTTGCAGTATTCACCTACCTAATAGATAACATAACTGTCTAAATTAGCGAAAATTAGGGATGGCTGCATGGCATCCATCCTACAATAGGAATAATGGATCCTACACAAGAATATTCTCCAGTATATTGGGTGCGTTATAAATACATAAATCCATATAGTAAGTACATCACATCATCTGGGTGTATTGTTTTTTTTTTGTGTAAAAGCACGGCGAACGTGAAGAATGCTACCTGATGGTAAGCAATCGGCGTCGCGCATGTATACCTGCAACACCAAAAGAGTTACGAGTGCGTTGCCGGCCTTTTGGGGATAAAGATTTTGGAGTTTTAGGGATTAGGGAGTTATAAGGGAAGGGGTAACATTGCGTCTCGAATCAGGAACCAGAACTTATGGACACAAGAGCTGTTGTGTGCGTGTTATAAGGACCCGCGAGACATTATACCACAACTGCAAATTTGCCTAGTACACTTGTAAACGTTTTCATTAAAATAAAATTTGTCCGTCAGTCAGTTACTTAGCAAAATGTCAAGTCATACCACGCTTACTACGATGACAATTATAAAGCAAATTTCTCTACAAAATATTATAGGTCCGTATACATTTTACTCGTGGGACGATCGACCTAGACCTCACTACAAGGTTGCACAACAAACGCACAAGTTTCAGGAAATACTTTTATTGCGTGAGTAATACTTGGCAGAGCGTGATAAATAAGACAAGATGGACGACTACATGTAGGGGAAATAGTGTGAGTGTCATAAAATATTGTAGGTACTAGATCGATGCGTGTTGAAATTATTTGGTGTCAATTAATTAAATATTTACAATTTGAAAGTTTTTAGTCATGGTCGCCTGGTACTGGTGTCCGAAACTTGGCAAGAACCAATATGACTTTTACCGAGTTAAACGTCCTTTCCATGATTATTTAGACATTACTGAAATACGGTGAAGGAAAACATCGTATGGAAACCTGGACTTATAATTTCTAAATTATACCTAAGTTTGAAAATGCCATTCTGTCTTGAGCAAGCGTGGTGGTTAATGCTCAAACCTTATCCTTGTGAGAAAAGGCCTTTGCTCAGCAGTATTTAAAGGATGAAGGTGCGATGGTGTGATGTGAAAGTTTCTTATTGCACAAGGAAGCAATCCCATTTAGTTTATAGGTAGTTGATAAACTCGGAAACTACCGAATTATTTTTTATATTCTTTTCTTTTATGACTATACCAATTATGTCGGAGATTTTTATGATAAAAAAAAGTCAAAATCATTTATTCCAACTAAACCATAAATAGGTACTTTTGAAACGTCAAAATAGAAAAGTAGTCTGTCAGTCTGTTCGTCAGTGAAGCTAGGTGCTCATTCCAAATTGTAGATTCGAATGGAGAAGAACGAGCAAGAAACTCCATTCGTTACTCTTTTTTTTAAAAAAATTGTTTTACAATTTCAATAATATAACATTTATAGTATACATTAGTGTACCCTTATGTGAGAACAATGCAGAGACAAGTTGTTAAAAAAAAAGAACAAATGAGGGGACATATCATAAAATTTTACTCCTTTGTCGTCTCGAACATGGCGCTCACATATGCGTACTCACAATCTTTAAGAGTGCTTCTATATAAACTTTTTGGATATATAAATTAAGGATGCATTATTTTTGAGAATTTTATCTAACTGCTGACTATATTTGAATATTGTCCAGTGGAGCCGAATCAACACGCTGCCAGGCATTCTTATCCTCAATATAATCTGAAAGTTTGTAGTATGCCTGTCTACACAATTCGCGTTTAATATAAGTTTTAAATTTTCGTTCGTTAAGATTCAATACAGTACTTGGAATTTTATTGTAACAATTTACACAGAACCCCATAAAGGATTTCTGTACTTTGGACAGACGGAATCGTGGCACAGCCAGCCTATCTTTGCCTCTTGTATTAAAATTATGTCTATCGCTTCTTTTTTCAAATAATTGCAAATTTTTCCTTACATACATAATATTTTCATATATAAACTGACAAGGCACCGTCAGGATATTTATCGTTTTAAATAGTTCTCTCAGAGATTCGCGACGGGGCAAGTTATATATCGCTCGGATAGCCCGCTTTTGTAGAATAAATATTGATTCTACTTCCGCAGCTCGACCCCACAGCAAAATTCCGTACGACATAATGCTGTGAAAATAGCTAAAATAGACAAGCCTTGCTGTGTTCACGTCTGTGAGCTGTCTTATCTGTCTAACTGCAAAAACAGCAGAGCTTAGTCTCCCCGAAAGCGTCTTTATGTGGGAACCCCATTGAAGTCTATTGTCTAGTGTGATACCTAGAAACACTGTCTCGTTGACAAATTCTAACTTTTGCCCATTTAAAATTATGCTACAATCATTACTGTGTACGTTGGGCAAGCTAAATTTAATACATTTTGTTTTTTTCTCGTTAAGCGCTAAATTATTGACTGTAAACCAATTATGAACTTGATGAATGGAGCTGTTTACTTCGTCAAAATTATTAGAACGTCGACCTATTTTAAAAATTAATGATGTATCATCAGCAAACAGCACCATCCTTGGCTCAGCTTTAAATAAAAATGGCAAGTCATTAACATACACTAAAAAGAGAAACGGACCCAATATTGAACTATACTGATATATACTAGGATATTGTTCAGTATAGTACATTCCTACACAAAATTAAAATATTTTTTTTTTGTACTAGGTGTGGGACACTGTGATGGTTATATAGTTTAATTAACGTTCTTATTAAGTCATCTCTAACTATTAAACTTATTTTTACAAATAATAGTTGAAAAATAACTACAAAAGTAATGAAATATTATATTTATACTATGTAGGTATAATATATGGCATTGCACTGGCGGTATTCGAATTTCAACTTTATTGTTTAATCATAAAATTGAAGATTCCAGTGTGGGAGAGCCATGCTTCGGCACGAATGGGTCAGCTCGACCGGAGTGATACCATGGCCTCACAGAAGACCGGCGTGAAACAACCACAGCGTTGTGTTTCACCGTGTGAGTGAGGTTACCGGAGGCCCAATGCTTCCCCGCCCCCAATCCCTCCTCAATCCCTAAATCTCCAAATCCCTAAACCCTAAAAGGTCGGCAACGCACTCGTAACTCCTCCGTTGCGGGTGTCCATGGGCGGCGCTGATTGCTTACCATCAGGCAGGTAATCCGTCTGCTCGTTTGCCGACCAATTACATAAAAAAAGAGAAACATTGCAAATTGGAGTAGGTTAGCCTGCTGGTCACTCACTGTACATCGAAAGATGTATGACTTGTACAAGGCGATGCGTCACGCACGCACCATTTCGAACTACAAGGAAAATACGTACTTTCATAATAAAATGCAATTCATTTTGAACGTCAACGTTTGTTGTTCTGGTTCCGATCGTTGGTAATAGCTGCTAGACTTTCAATTTGCTGTCTAAAATAACAGTCACATTTTTTTTGTTAGGGGATAATCATCAAATGACTTCTCTGATGAATCAATGAATAGGGAGTGTCAGGCCCGTACTGACTACAAAACCGCCGGTTCCTTATCCTGCTCTAGGCCGAGGCCGCGGTACGAGGCCCGGCTAAACAACGGCCCTGTTGGTGTGATCAATAGCTCTTTGAGGCGCGCGCGGAACGATATTACTACTTACATCCAAACCCGGAACAACAATTTTGACAATCTTACTAATAATTGTTCCGTATGGGAATTGAGGCTAACAAGAAACCCACTATGATCAAGTATAAGTAAATCCCTCACCTCTATCCTTAGGAATGCAGGGCGAAGACTCCTGGCATTTGGTGACGCATTTCTTGTGACAGGAGAGACCACAATTTCGACACTGCATCGCATCTTTCAACCAAATCTGGAATACAATTATTAACATTTTTTTATACGAGTACAATTTGTCAATTTGTCAAATTGTAATTTTACACGCAATTTTTCCATATTGTGACTTTAAATAATATTTTAAATCCAATATCAGCCATACCTACTGGTCCAGCCGTTATCAAATTTTAGCGACCAATAGAAATTTATGTTTATAAAAAAGTATTCTTTCTCATTTTTCAAACCTCCCCAGGACTATTGCAAATATTTACAGATCAAAATGAGCCAAATCGGCCAGCCATTCTCCAGTTTTAGTGAAACTAACGAACAGGAATTGATTTTTATGTATAAGATAATAAAGTAGCTATTGCTTTATAAACTATGGCTAGGTACTTGTAGTATTACGGCTAATTTCTGTGCTACTATACTTTTTATTCAGAACTGTCATTAAATAAAGTGAGAAAGAAGGTTGGGGTACTGGAGGTGTTTATCTCATGTGGCGGAATTATGGAGACTTTGTTTACAAATATTTGACATCGATCTTGGCTCATCTGCTGCTTAGTTATGTTTCTATTAAAAGGACTGCCGAATTCATAAAGAAATTTCATCATGAAACTGCCAGTAGCAAAAGTCTCACTTTAACAAAAACAAAGCAGCATTTTTCAACGCTGTATCCTAAAGTACTACCATACAAGAATTGCTTTATTTTGTGTAGCTCAAAAGACCAGTAAAAATAACACGAATTTTCATGTAAATATTTTAAAACATGTCCATTGAAAAATCTTCGTAAACAAAGTTTTTTTATGCTGTTTTAAGGGTCAATGAATGTACTTGAAATATTGCAATCTTTTTTAAAATACTTTTTATGTGTTAAAATATCCTTTCTTTAGTTTGAGTTAAAGCTAAGCTCTTTTCTGGGAAACTTAAATAAAAGAAAGTAGGTAATTTGCTACTGAATTGGCACAATTGAGTCACATATCATATTATATGCTTATTTCTTAAAAATGTGTTATAAATTGAAAGGATATAATGTGATTCGATTGCTTAAAATTATTCCATTTAAAAGTCGAATTAATTTAATTTTGTTGACTAGGTTGAGTAGCCAGGAATACGTTGACTAGGTGATTACTGCAAAGGAATTCTTTTTAACTAAACGCTTTATAGTTTCAGTAATTATTTCCTTATTTCCTTTAGTGTTTGTTCCATTAGGAGTAAAGTTTAACCAAGGTTTTATAGAACATACATAAAATCTTGCAGTAATATTTACAGTTATTAAAACTCACCTTCTTATTACAGAAATCACATTGGGTAGATCTATGGAAGTGTGTTCGCACGAAGTCATGACTGGTCCTGGTCGGTTTGGGGGGTCTGGGTAATACGGGGTCGCGGCTGGTCCTAGGGGTCGCACGACCTGGGCCAAGCCCCTCCCACTCCCACCAGACAAGTGCATCTCCGAAGCATAGGCAGGGTTCGAAGCCCGCGTGAGATGATAGCTTGTGGCTTTTGCTGCAAATATTTTCTTAGATTAGTATCGCTTAAAATGTAGTAGTTATCAGAAAGCGCTGCTATTAGTCCCTTCTCGGATCTTGCGATACCCATCAGAAGAAAAGGGTGGTAACGACATTATCTATGTAACACAGAATACTGTGGAATGTATTCTAAGTAATGGGTCCTCAGAAAATTATGATTGATTGCTTTTTTATAAAATATGTAACGTAACGTTTACCTATGTAACTACAACTTATTGTCAACAAAAACCATGTATTACATTTAATATTGTGTCTATTTATTCGCGAGTTTAATGTATGCAATTGTCGATTTTCTGTGTAAAACGCATTATAGATATTTCCTAAGTTAAACACCAATATTTTAATAGTAAGCAAACCTATACTCATTATTAGGATCAGTCGTCATATTAAAAGAAAATTATTTCAACATGAACTCCTTGACGTCATGAAATCGAAATATTTTAGTAAATGTGTATTACAGATGAATTTTCTAAGATTACTGAACGTGGACTATACAGTTATGATCATCTGCACATACATATATGCTGACTCACATATATGGGGAATGCATAAAAAAACAATGCAGTATGCACGTCCGTTTCATTTCATCTTTACACGTATGAGTCATAGCAATAGGGATTAATTGCTATCACAATACGCAATGACCGATAAGATACGTTTTTACTACGTACGACAAGGATCTGATTGCTATTTGATTGCATGATGTAGACCATTCTATATAATTTATACGAATTCGCCTTCCTTGTTTTTAAGAAACATATTTTAATTTCTCTTTAGGTATTTCGCTTATATTGATAGTAACTTAAAATGACCTTTAATTTGCTATGGACCTTCATGATTGCGAGCCATCTGAAGTTTAAGCTTTTTTGTATATACTACATTATACTAGCATTTGCCCGCGACTTTGTTCGCGTGGAATAGTGACTTTCTGTTGATTTTTGCTTTAAAAGCTATCCTATGTCATTTCTCGAGTTCCAAACTATGTCTGTACCAAATTTCACACAAATAGGTTACTTTCGCATATAGATAATTAGTTTGAATTGTTCTAAAAATTAATGCCAAAATGAGTTTACTATTCAGTTTCATACGGACAGTATATGCGACCTCAAATTATTAAGTGATATAGAAATAGTTTTTTATATCACAAAGAACATACGACATTTTTTTTTACAGCAATATAGCTAACATCACCCAACCTGGGTTTGCCCATTGGCACTTTTCCAACAATATAAATATTATCCACAGTCAGTCAGAAACCCAATTAATGCGTATTAGTCTATGATTCGCTCATCTTGGTTGTTTTCTAAGAATTGTTAAAATGTTGTCATTGTTATAAAGAGGTCTGAGGTGTTACAACAGCGATGTCACTGGTTTCTTTATACCTATTTGTATCATTATTGCGCAACGGGACAAGATGGCTACGATCACCAGTAACTGAATAGTTACAAAATGTCTTTTTTGAAACGGTCATTGTTTTTTTTTGTATCAAATCTGTTTGAAGAGAGGATAAAGATGTATTTCTTTGTGATATTATTAATTTAGTTTTCGACTTATTTATGAGGGGAAGGGGGGAGGGTCAAATGACTAGACGTTCCTTGTCCTGCTCTAGCTCGAGGCCGCGGTACCTTACTACGCTAGACCCTCAACCCCAACTGTACCTTGCCAGATCTTACTTCTTGTGCAGAACTATGATACTGGTAGGTATAGTGTAATATTAAGTAGTTTGAAGACGGCTGCAGGCGTCGTTTTTAATATGAGTGTAGGAATTTGTAAATAATTGATTGGATTATTAGCATTAGGTTCGCTGTTTGAGAAGTGCGTATTTATAAAAATAGTATGTTTATAGAGATATGGGCAATGCAAAATAAGCAAATGAGCATATTCAATTGTCTCACATAGCAATAGGTAATAAAGGATATAATGCTTACTTGTGATTTGTGAGAAAGACATGCAAGAAAAGGAAGGTAAGTTATTATTGTAGAATTAAATACAATTTCAAATGTTGCGCATGTTTGCGCAACAATTAAAAGTATGGGTTAACTGCGCTTCAATTTTTACGCATCAACTATATATAACAACTATAATTATGGCGTAGTACTTAATTAAACATTTAAAGTGTCACACATTATTTAAGAGTTTATCTAGCAAAAATACATGCAAACATATTTTAATAGTCTATCAACCAATCATTAGCTTTATTGGATTTTCTAGCACATAATGCCATCTACCGTTACAAATCACAAATCTTACCTGAACTTTATATCGACATCTGGCGGCAAAAACTGGTATCTCTTCATATGATGTGGCACGGTAGAGTCCTGGCACTCAGCCAGTAAAGCTGTGAGTGGTATATTCAAGTATCCTAGCAAAATCTCCTCTTTCTCACCAGCCACGGTGGCCCAAACATTGATGTTCAAATATTTATGATTTTCATTCAATTTGAATTCCGTCTCTTCGTCAAAAGGTATTATTGGCTTTAAAGGAGTGTTTTTAGTCCAGAACATTTGGCATATCTCTACATGCTCGCATTGTCGTGGTCCTCCAACTTCGAACATTTGTTCGTCTTCTTCATTCGTCTCTTTTTCTGGTATCCTACACTCTGAGGAGTCAGTTCTGATGATGGGTATGTCTGGGTGTTTCACTGTCTTGTTGATGACGTTGGCTTGTCTTAGAGGGGTACTCGCCCCCGAAGCTGGTGGAGTGCTACCAGCTGAGCTGTCGGAAGACTTATTTTCAACGGAGCAGCGTCGCTTCCGAAGACCGAAGTTAGTCGAGGGCTGTTCGGATGACTTCGATTGTCGTGTGGTTTCTGTTTTAGGTTTGGCTTGTGCATCAGTCTCATTTTGTGGTTCTACTGTTTTTGCTGGACTTGATTCCGGTTCCTAATAAGAGATTGAGAGATAAGTATGTTGTTAATTGTTGAACTAGTGAGTAGATAGCTCAGCTCCTATTATTTTTTCAATGCAAAAGGAGGTAAGTTCTGTTCTACTTATATAGACAGTAAAGGCGTGTTAACCCGGTTCCGCCTCCCATGGATGAGGGTTTGGTTTCGAAACCCGGCTAGTAACAATGGGGCTTTTTCCGAGTTATATGTACTGTCTAAATTATTTGGACATCATTTTCAGCGGCGAAGGAAAACATCGTAAAGTAACTGGGATTTATAATTTATAATTATAAGTATGGAAATTACCAATCTACCTTGAGCAAACCTGGTATTAAATGCTCAAACTTTCTATGTGTGAATAATAATTATCAAACAGGTATTAATAGACTGGATTCTAACGACTCATTATATTTATTTTTAGCTTTCAACTAACCTGTAAATTGCTCTTAGAAGCTGCTGCCCTCATGCCTTGCAGCCTGACTCCCTCCATGACTTCAGACACTCGTCTAAATGAGAAGTTGGGCTTTATACGCTTCGGTTCGTTCGCCTCGTCTCGCCTTACTCCGGCGCCATTACCGCCGCGCTTCACTCGTACTGTTACCGCACGGCGTTCTACTAGCCGGAGGAGTTTACCAACCTGGTAAAGAAAGAGGGTTGTTGTAAATGTGTTAGGTTATACTGTAAACGTGTTTTAGAAAACTATAGATACGGTTTTTTATGTAATTGAAAATGAAATATGCCCTCTAAGAATGATACGATGTGCCTTTAAATTATTCAAAAAGGCAATACAAAATTAGACCAAGTGGCAGTTGTTCCTTAAGTCAATTTATAAGGGCAAATAATCTATCTATCTGTGGATTTTCTTACTAGGGAAAGAATTTTGTATGGAGATTTGATTTATAATAAGATTATGTTAAAATCCTAACTTTATTTAGCAAATCTACAAAAAGATTCATGTCTCAGACAGCCATAATGAGTGCGAACTGACCATAAAAGTTTAATAAGAAGAAAGGTTGTCTGGAAGACATCGCCTTATGTCATGAGACCGCCTCTATTGTAATCACAACATAATTTTTTTGTATCTAACGTGTTTCTCTTTAGTACATGTGTGCAATTAACTATATAAAAATAAATAAGTAACGATAAAAAATTAATTAAATTCATCAAATCCCAAGCGATCGCCGGCGTTCGCTCTAATTTGTTCTTCTATTGTGTCTTTAATTACCACGATAGAAACGTTAATAAAACATAACAATAGACATCTCACCTGCGCCACATTATTAACAGGCTTGTTATCAATAGCCAGCACGACGTCATCACGGCGTAGGTCAGCGCGATAAGCAGGCGACATTGGCACCACAGTGTCTACTAACACAGCGCCCACACCCTGGCAACACACGAGTCCTAGCGGCCCGGCTACGGCTGGCAACACCACGTCAAGAACGAGAACACCGCGGCGAAGTGATACCTGTGGAATTAAAAAGTATTTTTAATAATTTTATATTTAGTAGATTGCAATATATTTGTTAGCTTTTCTAGTGGGTATTATATTTAATGTTACTGGCACTACTAAATTTAGTATTGGCACTGGCTAAATTTGTAAAGACATTTAAGACAACGATGCTCTTATTGTCCCATGACGCTTTTTCTTCGTCTTCTTAAGTTCCATATCTTGGTCGGCAATCACACTTTTTTATGGGATATCTGATGGTAAGCAATCGGCGCTGCCCACTTATAATACTAAGCAGATATTGCAAGTGCATTGCTGGGCTTATGTGGGTTTTTAGGGATTTAAGGACAGGGAATGCAGCAGGTGAGGAAAGGATTGGGCCTCCAGAAACGTCACATACACGACGAAACAAAACGTAAGTGTTTCACGCCGGTATTCTGCAAAGCCATAGTATCACTCCATTCGAGCCGGCTAATTCACACCGAAGGATGCCTGTATCGCTCTTCCGAATATCAACAAAAAAAAAAAATTTGCATTCCATTTAAGTAAAAAAGACAAAAGTAGGTACTTAACAGTCTGAATAAGTAATGAGGTTAAAATAAATGAGTTTTGTTTGATATTTTCTAGTTTCCTGTAAAGTTCTTTGTTAAGTAGTACAATAGTACCTACTCTTCCGTGTTAGATAAGTATGGATCGTACTATAAATATTATTAACATAAGAATTTATTAAATGGCTTGCGAATTTACGGAAGATATCTAAATGTTAGCGTACATAGCAACACGTCTTTTGTTATCCTTTAAAGAAGAAGGTATAATATACTACACACTATATAACACCAAAGGAATTTGTCGTAATGAGTGTCAACGAGGGCTTTGCTTTCCTTTTGGGGATTAGGATTTCGGAGACTTAAGGTTCGGACAGGGTTGGGGAGGAGAAGGATTAGGCGTCTAGAACCTCAGTCACACGGGGAAACACAACGCTGTGTTTTTTTCAAGCCAGTTTTCTGTGAGGCCGGTGTGTCACGTCTGTCGAGCCGAACGCTCTTTATTCTGTACTGTTTCAAAAACTCACCCATCCATGAGAGTCCACAGCTAAGGCTGCGCGTACAGTCGCAGGTCCGCCAGACCATTGCAGCCTTGTGACTTCCATCAATCGAACTGTCAACCGGCCGTGTGGACACGGTCCTTCATCACCTTCCGTACTGCCAGGGTCTGACTTCGGGAAGAAGGGTTTGTACCTGGAAACCGAGATAGATAAATTCAGGGTAATGTTGTTAGGAGGTCAAGGTTTAATAGTGTAGTTTCCAACTATTGAGATTCAATACTTATTTTGAAACGTAAAGAACGATAATTTGTATAAATGTTGTATGAAATAGCAAATTTCTAATGCAGTAAAAGCTAAAAAAATACGGAAACTAAGAATCAAATCAAATCGACGAATGTTTTATATAGAGTTGAAGTAATTAATTTCTTTTTTTACTGAAACTACCAATTTCGTTTTAGGATAGGGGCCAGCCTGTAGACAAATCGTCTGATCATACCGACTAAATGATGTAACAAAGAAATGTATTGTAAAACTGATTGAAAAAGAGTAACCATGGAGTTTCTTGCTCGTTCTTCTCCATAGAAATCTACAGTTTGGAACGACTAAATAGCTTCACTAGAGGACAGACGGACAGACTGACACGCTTAATTTTAAAGCTCATGTTATATACTTTTTTCCTTTTTTGCTTGCTTGACGTTCAAAAGTGCCTACTGTCTAATTGAAATAAATGATTTTTGACTTTTGACATAAACGATAGATAAGCATCACCCGAAAAATGTCTGTCCGTATGTACACCACGTCATAAAGTACATTTTATACTTAGTTTGTTCTGCAAACTACGTCTGTTTTAACCTTATTGTGACTGACTGTCTCGTCTCTGAAATTTAATGTAACGTAAACTAAGTCCTTTACAAGTCCCATTCTTTACAGCTCATAAAGTTCTAGCTCAAGTGAAAACTCCGAAACTAAACACTCCTGAATCGGTAATTGTAGGTAAACAAATGCTTCTTTGTCTCTTCATTTCATATCAAAGTGGAATTACTTGGAAATTGTGTTCATTATAAAAGATTTAATTAAGGAAAAAGTATACTCATTATACAAAATGTAGAATTAAGGCCAGTACAAAGTTCAGTGGTATCTCATCAAAGTAAAGAAATGTTACACTTACCGTATTTTATAATTAGGCAACGTATGCCTCTGTGCTACCGCTCGTCTTATGTGCGCAGCGACTAATGAAGCCAGTCTAGGCTTGATCTGTCTGCCCTGAAACCTGCCTCGGACTCGGAGTTCAAGTTTCGGTGGTGACTCAAAGGCTATAGCCCAATGAGTGTATGGATTGCGACGGAACATCACTCTCACATTGCCGCTTATGCTTTCCACTGAAAATATAATTTAATGTATTCAAGAATTAAGATATTTTTACATTACAGAACATAATATCTCGCGAATAGTTGAAGACTTTTAAACCTGGATTTGACAAATTGGAAAGTGGTTAGCCTAGTCTATAAGTTTATGGATACTTAAATTGCTGTAGTCAAAAGAGAAGGCAGTTCTTACATTGCACATTTATAGAATTTAACTATAGGCTATGTTTATTCTGTTGTACTAACTTTTAATTATTCTAAGAAAATTATATTGAACCTATTATAGAAGTGACTATAGAAGACAGAACCATAGTCATCCCTAAGAGTTGAAACTTGAACATAGGCGAAACGGAAAATGTGTAAGAAATGACCTTTTCAAGTTAACCAAGTCCCATAATATGACCTTTTCAAGTTAACCAAGTCACATAATTTAAATTTATAAGTAAGTTCAAAATTTATACTGAGATAAATTTGTCTTTAGCTGTGGAAAAGTTATTGGTGATTTATTCACCAGAAATAAAGTAGCTCCTCAAAACATCTGGAAATCGACTTCATCAAGATGTCAGAAGTTTTGCGATATTGAATGGGCTTTTAATAATGTTTCTTCAAACACTGTCCTACACTGGGATTTTCTTCTATGTCGTGTGTATGTTACAAACATACAATTTCACATACACAGACTCAGAACAACAATTTGTGGAGCATGCAAAGAGTTGTTTATCCATGTATCGGGTATCGAACTCACGACACGTTGAACGGTAGCCGGTATCCAATAGTGTCAAATAGTCTATTTAATAGAACTGTGTTATATCAATGTAGTCGTGGTGACCCGGAGGTTAAAGTGCCCGCATCTCATGAATGAGGACGCGAGTTCTAAACCTGGCAACTGAGATGTAACTTTTCTAGAGTTTGTCGATCCACCGTGAGCAAGCGTAGTGATTAATGCTCAATCCTTCTCCGTGTGAGATAAGACCTTTGCTTAGCAAGGGGCACTTACAAAGTGATGATGTGTTATATCAATATGTATGGCAAAATTATCGTTACAAAAAACTTACCAGTTATAGATATGTTTGCGATTTTCCCAAGTAACATGACAGCGTCGACATCGATTCTGAAGTTGCCGTCATACGCCAGGTCGAACTTCAGGTCTAAAGCCCTCAGTCGCGCCCCATCCTCTTCCAATTCACCAGACTGGAGCCTCAAGTTTGTGATGCTGGGAAACTCCGTGCCCACTTCAAGGGACCGCAGCTGTGGAGCAAAAACGGACGATTATTTTGTAATTGTGGCTGAGTCGCTTTCTTCTTCTGTTTTTTTTTGTTATGTAATTATAAGGTCTATGAATGTTATCCAAATAAAAATTAAACAGGTATTATCATAATTATTTAATCATGAAATCACTCACTCCTCTTTCGGTGTGGCGTGAGACATGACCTAAATACCGAATGATTGCCAAATATCTCCCTGATCCAGAGCCGTATTGCCTCTAAAATACACAAGGCAAGGGCCTAAGGCACCTAGTGCGGGCGCCACGAGATACACTTAACGTTAGACAGCGCCTATAACTAGTGCAGATATATTGATATAATAGTTCTTGTAACACGTTCAGACTTTTAATCCGGGGTTGCGGGGTAAGCGAAATGAGGCACCGCGACCCCCGCTATAAATAAACACCCCCGCTCCTTCTCCTGCTCTGGGCGCCGCCCAGAGCAGGAGAAGGAGCGGGGGTGTTTATTTATTCAGTAAGAGTCTGACACTCTCTCTCGCCCTTACCCTCGGCTGGAGAAGTCATTAGATGATTTTCCCCTGACAAAAAAAAGACTCTTATTGACTAAAACCATTCAGTTCTTTCTACAGATATTATGGGACTAAGTAACTTTTGCGGTTTAATCCAAAACTCACGACGGGCAACCGTTTACTAAAATTCTATCATAATTCTGGCCAATGGCGAATTTAGAATCAGATTCGTGATTTGTTTTATTTGTGTATTTTTTATTTCGTAATCCGATCGTTTATTTCGTACTTACCAACTCAAAATACAATGTATGTCTAACACGTGCCTTGAAGCACAGTTACCCGTACAATATTGTATAGGGGTATATATGTACATCCATATAATACGTATTTATTTAGCAAAACATGTTTATTGTAACATGACGAACGTTAGATGTACTTGGCATGTAGCCCGCGAGCGCTAACCCTTATTTTGGAGGAAAATATACACTAAACATTATATTATAATGTTTTATGTACATTGTATTAAAACGCACAAAACAAAGGTTTTAAACTTGTTACTTATGTAACTTCACATTTTTCTTCTAAGAACTTGGTACCTACGCTCAATTTCAAAAGGGTTCCTTTTTCAAACATCGGGAAAATGGAATAGTTAGCTCACAGAAGTATGCCTAATTAAATATTTTTCACCATAAACAAGTCTGCAGCTCATGTTTGTTATTCGCCCTTGCAATCTTTTGACCAAGGAGGCCGCCTAACAAAACTTTAGACTTTTGGGATACCCAAATCACTAGCAAGAGTCGTTAAAGCAGAAAGTTTTTTTAGGGGCAGATAACTTGACAGCCGTTGGCTATATAGCACATAGCCCTTAGAGCCCTTGTAAAGATTTAAACAAACTAATTAATTTACGTAGGTAAACGTCCCAAACTTTGTACTTGAGTATTTCTTATAAACGACTATTATTCTTTTTAGGGTTTTCGTACCTAAATTTACCCGAAGGATTGTGTCTGCAGGTTTTGATGGATGGAAAATTAACTTTTGGTAAAATTGATGGTAAGCAATCAACATCAAAGGAGTTGTTGTCGAGTTCGTTACCGGCCTTTTAGGGATAAAGGTTTAGGATTTTTAAGGATTGGGAAGGGATGGCGGATGGGGAGGGATTGGGCCTCACTCACACGGCGAAACTCAACGCTGTGGTTATTTCACGTCGTTTTTCTGTGAGGCTGTGGTATCATTCCGGTTGAGCCGAACCATTCGCGCCGAAGCTTGGCTCTCTTACACTTGACCTGTTTATAGGCAAAACAAAACAATATCGGATGACCTAAACGAGTAATAGTATTAGACCTACAAACATTTTTCTTATTAACTACCTATATTAACTTTTTTAGTGAATAAAGGTTTCTTTTACGTATTCGCCATATAATATTGTTACGGGACCCTTGTTGCGACATTCTGTTCCGTACACTTTCGGTTTATTACACAAAGTTTACAAGTGAAAAATCTTTCTTAGAAAGGTCCTGTGCCCCTTAGCAACAAGTATGTACTTATAACTTCAAATGTTATATTCTGGGAAAAAATATCTAAGCGTCAGTAATAGGGCTGTACTTACCAAAAGATTTCAAGAAACCTTTTTGATGGATTTTATATGAAAAGCTAACCGATAGAGAGATTCGATTAGGGTTGCTAAATATAATTTTTTTTTATATGTAAGTATATCGCTTAAAAGGTAGTCTGGTTCTTTCATTAACTTTTTTTTTGGTAACATATTGGTACAATTTGTGCGCATATACGATTTGTGTTGTAAATATTTTGTTATTATTAAATACATATGTATTTTTGAGTTATGATTTTATGAGAAGAAAATCATCAATGGCTTTGTCCTGCCCTATGGACAGCCAGGTAGGGTGTGTCATACTTTTACTGACTCAAAACTATTCATGTAGGTAGGTACTGTTTGACGCTTGACTTGCAACCCCAGCTGAAGTATGATTTATTAGACTGACTTTTCTATAGACCGATTCGAAATAGCCGATTTTACATTACACATACAAACATACCTATAAAATATCAATATCTAAAATACATAATAATATATAATTTTTCCATTCATCGAATCATGGTATAAATAAGATGTAAACGTCTGAAACGATGATATTCAATGAGCGCCTACGTTTGGCCCAATCAGGGCAGTGAACTTCGTTGTTATCTCTGTTCAAAGGTCATGTTGACATATTGACATCATGTTGGTTTATGTTGACTAAAGAGGTTACACTAGTTCCGCGGCTTCGACCTGGGGCAGGTGAACGAACGGGATGGTTATTAGCCAGTAAAAGTCTGACAATTCTGGTCGCCTCACCCAGGGCCATTGAAGTCTATAATGATTATTGCCTCTAAAATTTTGAATTCAATTAATTAATTGAATTCAGTTCAAACTGCCTTGTTTGTATAATTAGGTCAATTACATATGTAAGCTATCGAAAAAGGCAGAACAAAACTATATTGCAATCTACGCCAATACCTTTATGTATCTTGGTGGCCCGGAGGTTAAGGAGCCCGCTTCTCATGAATGAGGGTGTAGGTTTGAAACCTGGCAAGTACCAATGTGACTTTTTCCGAGTTATATGTACTTACTTTCTATGATTATTTTGATACCATTGACACACGGTGAAGGTAAACATCGTGAGGAAATCACCAACCTGCATTGAGCAAGCGTGGCGATTAATGCTCTAACCTTCTCCGTGTGAAAAGAGGCCTTTGCTCAGCAGTGAGCACTTATATGCTGATGATGATGAACTTTTAAGTAGCAACAAAAGTATCCAAACTTACTTTAATAAGAGTTTGCCAACGTTTAAACAACGCGCGATGCGCTAAAACGCTTCAGAACTCCAATATCGGTATCCTACTTAGAAATTCAATATCGCTACTTACCGCTGCATATCTAATACGAATTAGCGATACCATGACTATGACTATAACGTTAGCGGTTTTAATAAATACTCCGAGCTTAGGCGGGGTGTTTTCACATCGGCCGTCACGAATCGTTGGCGCCGATTGAACCGCAAATCTGCGATCATTGGAGCGAATAGTTTGCTCGTAAACTGCGTGTACGTTTATAGAGAAATTCTATTCAGGATTATCGAGTAAACACCAAAAAGCCTGTAATTAATATTGAAATTTAATATCGTATAGCTCTAGGCTTGTTCTTCTCGGAATTGCTTCAGGATTGTTGACGAAAGTTCTGTAATTAGTAACAATACCTATGTAAGCTTATCCGATAAATCGAAACGTCTATCAAATCAAACCTACCTACGTAGGTAGCAACCTACATTATCTAGAAATTGTATACTAATATTTTTCAAGATGTTTCCTTCATTAGTATTTTTCTTGCTACCAATTATTTCCCTCTTCGGAGAATCGCTATTAGAATTACTTTTTATCTTTGAATTACTTTTTTTTTTAAAACAGAAAATAAATCGAATTTCTTCTTTCGGCCAGGGTGGGGTGCGAAGTAGCGTCAGACTCATACTTATTCTTATTAAGCCCCATACGTTCTACTTCTGCGCCAGGCGCGAGGCCGCGGTTCCTTTCCGGACTTGTCCTAAGACCCCGGCAATTCTTCGAATAACTGGACCCAAAATTAACAAACTAAATACTTAATAGCTGTAAACTGAGTCAGAGTTTAATACACTTTGTGAATTGCAAATTTAATTTCTTAAAGTTCGAGTTCGGACTCGAATGACAAAGCGACCGTTCGACTGACTAGCTATGACTAAGTTTTAATAGGCTACAAGTTACATTGGGAATGGCCAGATTAGTCCGCCATTGTACTGTGGTGTGCAAAGTGAAAAATTATTTAAATAAATTAAAATTTAATAATGGAAAGAATTACGGTAAATTCCATAAAATGAATGCCGTTCATGGAGACTTTCAAGTGTCTTAGGGATCAGTCAAACTTTAAGAAGAGACCTGGGCGTTTTAATCTGTTAAAAACCAATACAGTCTAAAATAAAGTCGCCTTATTTCTCCGTATATCCCTACACTTACTTTAAAACTACGTAACTGATTTTGATGAGGTTTTTTTATTAAATAAAGCGATTGAAGAGATAGGTTTATATGCATAACATACATTAATTAAATAGTGGAGAAATTTAGTACCAACATTACATCCGTGCGAAGTCGGGGCGTTTCGTTAGTAATAATACTCGTAATGCAAAGACATCGAACAACTAAATATAATGACACAAAAATGATTCAATCAATTCATGAATAGAATATTTCTGCACTAACGCCATCTACAAATAATATGTGCAATTTGCGATCGTTACGCAACATGCATAATACATTGACAGTCGATGCCGTGGCCTATATTTACTCGGTAATCAGCATGGCGCAATGTAATTTTCTCTGACAAGATTATTGCTGGTTCGAACGTAATAATGTGATTTAAAAGGAAATGATTGATTCAGAATGAGTTGTGAATGGATGGCAGTTGATTTATACTTTCATTTAATCTTATTATTTGCTAGACAAATTATTAAGAAATGTAAAAACTGCGCGACAGTCGCAGCGTCGCGTGTTGCGGAATAGTGCTCATGAGTATGGACCTCTAGCATGGCTTGAAACTAGTCGAGTATCTCGTCAAACAATTACTTGAGTAAGCCGAAAACATAATAATGAATTTAGTATGTCTCACGAAAGTAAAAACACTTAATTCCTGTTGTTACAATGAAAACCTTTGGCAAGTGCTATGTCCAGCAGTGGATGGACCTGAGCGTGTGATGATGAATTTACTAATTCTTACATTGTTGCAACAATATAAAATCTTTGGCGGTGTGATATCTAGCAGTGGATGGACCCGAGCGTGTGATGATGAATTTACACATTCTTAATTCAACTTTTTCTTACCGTCAAAGACTCAAAGATCTTTCCAGAAGATGTTTTGGCGAGCAGCTCCGCAAGTTCAGTGGCCATGCGTCTGCGCAGCCAACGCGTGTCAGCCGTGCTTTGTTGAAAGATGAACTGCAGCATCGTGTTTAGAGCACCTTCTGGAGAACTCCCCAATCCTCTTGTAAGCTCGTTCAGGACCTCCTGTTGACAATGAGTTACGTTCATAATATTTGTACGCTTTGAATTATGATAAATAAAAAAGAGTGATTTAGAGTGAAATCATTTATGGTCTTTTTTCATTCTTAAAACGATTGTAATTATCGTGAGTGTTTCTTCATTCTCATGTTCATTAGTGAGTGAGTCGTTATTTTCATTTTAAAAACATATAAGTAAAGCAAATTATTGATATGTCCGCGTGAAATAAATAATAGTGACTTCCTGCAGATTTTGTTGTAAAAACTATCCAAACTATGGCTGTACCAAAGGACATGGCCAAAAAAGTACATTCCACGCACACGAACAAAATTAATACACTGTAAAATACAAATAGAAATATGAATTATTACGTAGTTTTTAGCCTCTCCAGACCTGACAATTATTATTAAAAAAATGTAAAAGTAATGCAACAAAATCAACTTATCGTTTGTCAAGTTTCGCCATAATAGTCCATAGAGAAAGATAAATAAAAAGATGTTCCAATTCCAAACCACGTGTCTTAAACTACACTCGTAGAAAACGTGTGATATGATCGACAAATGCATTACACTAGGAACATTTTATTCATACGAAACTGTATTCATTGGTTTTAGTTGCATTTTAAAATATACTCATATTATAATAATATTATGTTTCATTTTTATCCAATTTACCAAAAAAAAAACTGAAACGAAACGGAACGTGTTTGACACTTTTGACAGCGTGTTTTTGTTAACCTTGCTAATAATACTGGAGTAACTGTTTTGCGTTTTGGATTTGTTTTGTGGATTACGATGAGGTGCATCAACTGCGGAATAGGCGTACAAAGGCTGCAGAGGCGTCTTATATCCTCGCTTTCTGCACCCCATCAAACAAAACTTTCACGTTGGTTAACCATAGCTCAAACCCAGGTATGAAGTCGGAATTGTATAACTTAGTCTGTTTTTTTATGTTTTATAATGGTATGTGATTTTAAATAGTGCATCTTTTTTTAGTTGCCTCTGGGGACATTCATTTGTCAACCACGCTTCTTATTATTGAATACTGAGGCTGGTGAACATGAGAGGCTACTGGGGCATAACATGGCTTGCCTTGGTTGTGGAAAATCGGTTCGAAAAATAAGACACCATAATGTCAGTATGGACTCTCCATTGCTAGCTGGCCTAATATCACAAAATACTATAAATGTGGTAAGCATTTTGTTTTTTATTCATTGTTTTATATATGTACTTGTATTTATCTATATTAATCTATAAAAAAAGTACTCATAGTAGGTATGTGTGATTATAATATCTATCTTTATGTATTTTCCATGTTTGCATAGACTTCTTTAAAGTAGGCATGTTGTAACATAATACTTCTCACTGTACAATAACATAAAACTTGAAAACATGTGTTTATTCTAACTGGGGTTTATTTTCAGACCTCAAGAAGCAACTATGTTTGTCATGTGTGCGGTATGCGGGCAAATAGACAGACAGTGCAGGACTTATCACGAAACTTGCAGGAATTGGGTTCGGAAAACAACACAGCAGCTCCTTATATTCAAGTGGTTAGCCCACCAGAGCCACCACCTTTACCACCTGTTTTAAGCAGACTGCTTCAAATGGAAAGTACTACCATATCATTACCCAATTATACAGAAAACATATTACAGAAACGTACATTCCATACACAAACATAATAAAATACACTTTATAATAAAGATATAAAAGTGAATTATTACGTAGTTTTATTTTATTTGTTCTCCTTAATAAATTAATCATTATTCTTTATACATATTATTTTGTTTTATTTTATTAGCAGGTTTTTAAAAGCAAAATCTTATTTCGTGCACTTATGGCCAGTAATCTGACTAAAGGTTTAGTGAAACTATTTTCGTCTTGTTTGTTATAATTACGAGTTCTTCATGTGTTTTATTTATTGCAATTTAATTTAATAATATTCACGAATGTAAACACCAAAAATCATTGATGTACATTGAATTCAATAACTATGCAAACGCCCATACAAAAGTTGGCCATGTCCTTTCACACAAATCGGTTCAGTGGTTTAGGCGTAAAGAAAAGACAGACAGAGTTAGTTTCACATTTGTAATATTAGTTAGGATAATTTGGATTTTATTGGAAGTTGGCCCAAACTGTGGTGGGCCTTATCCATATTCCAGCGATCGTGGAAAAAACGTGTCGTGAAGTTACAACCTTATCTAAGCAGCATAGGAAACAGTATATGGAGCAAGCTAGGTACAGTTAGGTACAATATCAAATAAGTATACTTGAATGCGAAAAGCTCGAAATTAAAGTCTAAGGTTAAACTTTTTTTGTGTGAGAAAGCCATGCTAGGGCCGTTAATGGGCGGACTCGACCGACACCTCACAGAAAATTGGCCTGAAATAACGAGTACCTATTATGTTTCGTCGCATTGGTTAGGTTATCGGAGTCGGAGGCCCAATCCTCAAATAATTAAAATGGAAATAAGTTAGAAGTAATGGAGGGAGAGGCTCCTTCATTATTTAAAATCCTCTTATACCTAAAATCAAGAAAAAAACAAAACAACAACGCGCTTGCAACAGCTCAATGGTGTTTATGGGCGACAATTTCTTACCAGGTGATGTTAATATCCTGTGTCCCCTAGATGGGGCAGAGGGCGTCCACTGAAGTTCTCCATCGCGATCTGTCTTGAGCTTCACGCTTCACCTCACTCCACGTCATACCGATGCTGGTCGCTTCTGCCAGTCACGTCACCGTCTGTACGGTGCGACGCCAGGTTTGCCGTGGACGGCCACGCTTTCTTTTCCCTTGGGGATTCCAATCCAAGGCTTGCTTGGGTATGTGATCAGGACCCCTTCGGAGCGTGTGCCCTATCCATTCCCACTTGCGGCGCTTGATCTGTCGGTCGATTGGGCTTTCGTGGCATTTCTCCAAAAGCTCTATGTTGGAGATTGTCTCGGGCCAGTAAAGTAAAAATAAAGTAACCGAGAATGCGACGCAGGCATCGGTTAATGAAGACTTGAAGTTGACGTGAGATGTCTTTGGTTACCTTCCACGTTTCGCACCCATAGAGCAGTACGGATTTTACATTGGACCCGAAGAATTTCAGCTTAATCCTTCGGGTCAGTTTCCGTGACTGCCACACAGGTCTCAGCTGCGCGAAAGTAGCTCGGGCTTTTGCGATCCTTGAAATGATGTCCTCTTCAGTACCTCCAGTCTCTGACACGACGCTCCCGAGGTAGGTAAATTTGTGGACGCGTTCCACTGCCTCTGTGCGAATCAGCAACGGTGTAGGATTCTTCACACCCGTTCTAATTTCTTTGGTCTTTCGCGTGTTAATTTTTAGGCCAGCTTTTGCCGCCTCCTGCCGCAGGTCGTCCAGTTTTGCTTGCATGTCGGCGTGGGTATGACTCAGCAGGCATAGGTCATCGGCGTACCAAATCTACCAGGTGATACTTTTGTTAATTTACCGCATATTTTAGAAGTGAACGAAAACGAACTGATGATGTTGAATAATAAGTACAGCTTAATTTAATTTCTATACCTTGCTAATTACTACATCAATATTTCAATACTACCTACAACGCAAGTAAATAGGTCAGAGTACCTACCTACCTAAATTCACCGTATAATATTTACAAATGTACAGATATACAGATAATATGTAGGTATGTCGGTATAGACACAGTAATTACGTATGCAGGTGTGTCGAGTATTGGTGTGATCAATCAATTAGGTGCTACAGTTAAACGCCCGATGATGGGATAGTGTGCCATTTACCTATTTATACGTCATATAGGTTCAATATTGACTCGTTATTATTTTGGGCATGGTTTGCATGTATGTATGTTTTTTTTTATGTAATAGGTCGGCAAACGAGCAGACGGATTACCTGATGGTAAGCAATCTGCGCCGCCCATGGACACTCACAACGGAGGAGTTACGAGTGCGTTGCCGACCTTTTAGGTATTAGGGATTTGTAGATTTAGGGATTGGGGGAGGGGAAGGATTGGGCCTCCGGTAACCTCTCTCACGCGGCGAAACACAACGCTGTGGTTATTTCACGCCGGTTTTCTGTGAGGCTGTGGTATCACTCTGGTCGAGTCGACCCATTCGTGCCGAAGCATGGCTCTCCCACACTTAAAAATAATATGTTAAAAGATATTATGTATTTGCTTTATTTTTAAATTGTTTTAAGAACGGTTATACTTTTAATGGTCCCTCCGTTAAGAATATAACCGTTTATATAAAACAAAGTCGCTTTCATTGTCACTATATTTTTACGTATGCTTAAATCTTTAAACTACGCAAAGGATTTAGACGTGTTTTATTAGTAAATAGAATGATTCAAGAGGAATTTACGACCAATCATATTCCCGTAACCTGGCTAGTTTTGGCGTGACACGTTCTCTTAGATAAGGACAGGGCAAACTTCATTCGAATTTTAAATTCTTATTGGTAAATTGTTATTGTGATAACACTTGATTTGTATTTGAATTAATAAAAGCATTCGATTCGCTGTAATTACTTAATCGTAATATATAGAAAAAACAAAAGAGAGCGAGAGCACTGGCTTATTCCCCACGGAATTCCCGAAACTAAACTTGAGACTGTCGACAGAGTAGATCTTATTATTTATGTAAAGAGGAGTATTCTCTCCCTTTGAACATTCAAAACATATATTTGGTACATATCTACTGATTTATTTGGGTCTAAAGACGAAACACGCACAGCCCATTTTAATCCCCAGAGGTATTTTAGGTAATCACCATTTAAAATTGATATTTATGACATAGGGGTAAGATTTCATATCACATGATCAGCCTATAAGTGCTGAGCAAAGACTTCTTATTATACGGAGAAGGTTAGAGCATTTAATCACCACGCTTGCTCAAGGTGTATTGGGATTTTCATAGTTATAATTACAATTTATATATCCAGCTTTCCTCGCAATGCTTTCCTTCACCGTATGTCAATGGTGTCTAAATAATCATAAAAAGTATGTACTTACATATA